GAATAACTTTCAATAGGGGTCATAGAGAAAGCTAAATGGGCTGGAGCATATATTTCTTTTTTTGCTTTTTGGGTCACACCCAGTGATGCTCAGGGGTTACTCCTGGCTCTGCACTCAGGAATTATTCCTGGTGGTGCTCGAGGGACCATATGGGATGCTGGGCATTGAACTCGGGTCCGCCGTGTGCAAGGCAAACGCCCTACCCACTGTACTATCGCTCCAGCCCCTAGAACATATATTTCATATGTAGGAGCCCTAGATTTGATCCCCAGCACAACTGTCAGAAATGATGCTCAAACACAGAGCCAGGAGGAACCCCTGAGTCCTGCCAGCCTCCAAAACCAAGCTAAATTGTAACAAATGTTAAAAACAAAAATTAACCTTCAAACATTACTAGATTCCCTGATCAATTTTATATATTATATGTATATATTTCCAATTTGACATATTGGAGGCAGCATTGGGAAAGATGAGTAAGGAGAGGCTACTAAAATCTCAGGGCTGGGACAAATGGAGATGTTACTGGTGCCTGCTTGAGTAAACCGATGAACAATGGGATGACAGTGATACAGTGACAGATTTCCAATTAGCTATTAATTATTTAACTGAAGCTTTTTCTGACTAAAAGAATTAGCTCTTTATTTTATTTCACAGTGAAGATTTGGGTCATCCAGCAGTTTTGTCTGCATCACATTATACCAATTTGGGAGGTCCAGAGTGATAGTACAGTGGGTAGGTCATTCACCTGGCACCAGACTGCCAGGTTTCATCTCCAGCATCCCATAGGGTTCCCTGGAGTGATCCCTCAGCACATAGCCAACAGTCAGCCCTGAGTACTGCTGGGCATGTCCCCAATACAAAACAACAAAACAATCCCCCCAAGCCAACAAATTTTATTATTATTGTGTGTGAAACAAGATAGTTCTTTTTTAATTTATTTAGAAAGATAATGAGGGAAGAGATAGAGAGAATTGCGTGCTGAAGAGAGAACATGAACCTCTCCAGGGTGCAAACCGGCAAGCAAAGAAACAGACCATCAAGTGAGATACGCATTCAAAGGAGAATATGGGCTTGAAGGGCAAGCTCAAATTTTACTATTTTTAAATAGGGTTTCTCTGAAGCTTCTTCAGTGACTGTTATTTCTACCAGATTCAACTTTCTTAGGTTGAATTTTGCACGTTTGCAAAGATCTAATTTGATCTTTTGCCAATTTGGGGTCAGAATTATGTTTTACCAATACAATCATAGCCATTTTCAGTTTTAATATGTGTTGGTTATATTTTTACCAGAAGTAAGCAATACAAATGGAACAGCATGCTGTTATGTTGTGCTTCTATCTTAGGTAGCTCACAAGGAAATTAAGACCATTTGGGGCTGGGAATGTGACTCAAGGATCAAGCACATGCCTTGCATGCAGGAGACAGAGGCTCCATCCCACCATCGCAAAGTAAATAAATAAATATTTCATACAACAGAAGAGAACATGGGAAAGAATCAAAGGTTCAGCCAGGGAGAGTTTAAGACAGCAAAAGGAGCTCAAATAAGTATTTGTTCAACACTTATAAAGGCCTGGAAAGTAGTGTAAAGGGGTGAGGCACTTACCCTTTAGGTGGGAGACCCCAAATGAGCAGTCCTACATCTCCACTGGGCCCCAAGCATCACTGGGGAATCCCCTGCAAATAAAAAATTTAAAAAACCCAAAACATAGAAACGTTTCATTTATATGGTCATACTAAGCACTAATGTTCATTGAACACTTACTTGAGCCCCATTATTCTGAAAACATTAAATGGGCTGAGACTCACTGAATCTTCACAACTCTTTCCAAAGACATAGTTATTTCCATCCCCCCATTTTTGTTTATGCTAGATCCTTCAGAATGAGTATGTTTTCTATAAATTTTTAGAAGATAAAATCCACAATCAGGAAGCTTACAATATTCTTGATATGCATACATGGGATCACATTTAAATGCATCAAATAGCTTAAATAATGTTTTTATTATGGAGCATATCTAAAATCCAAACTAATAAAAGAAATGCATAAACTGATAATACTCTGGAAGAACAATTGCCACAGGTCTATCAATCATAGTAAGCATACAATGTGCACAATTTACATGTGAAATCCAAAAATATCAGCGATATCTTATGAGTCTATTTAAATCTTCCTAGACTCTAAATACTATCACTATCACTGTCCTCCCCTTGTTCATCGATTTGCTTGAGCGGGTCCAGTAATGTCTCATTGTGACACTTATTACTGTGTTTGGCATATGGAATATGTCACGGGTAGTTTGCCAGGCATTGCCAGGCGGGCAGGATACTCTCAGTAGCTTGCCAGGCTCTCCCAGAGTAGCAGAGGAATCAAACCTGGGTTGGCCAGATCGACTGTGTGCAAGGCAAACACCTCACCCGTTGTGCTATTGCTCCAGTCCTAAATACTATATATATATATATATATATATATATATTTGTCTTTGGACCACATCCAGTAATGCTCAGGGCTTACTCCTGGCTCTGTGCTCAGGCAGAGCTTAGGGTGCCAGGATGTAACCAGGTTGGCTGTGTGTAAGGTAAATGACCTATTGTTGCACTATTGATCCTGACCCTTTTAAACATTATTTTAAAATTTTATTTAATTGGGGTCAGAGAGATAGTACAGTAGATAGGGAGTTTGCCTTGCACATGGCTGAACTGGATTCAATCCTGGGCATCCCATATGCTGCCCTGAGTACTTCCAGGAATAATTCCTGAGTGCAGAGGCAGGAGTAACCCCTGAGCATTGCTGAGTGTGACCTAAAAAGCAAAAAATATATATATATATATATTAATTGCTTGTTTTTGGATCACACCCACTCATGCTTGGGGCCTATTTCTGGCTCTGCACTCAGAGATCACTTATCTCAGGGATCACTTCTGAAGGGTCCAGGGGATCATGTGAAATTCCAGGAATAGACCCCAGGGCTGATGCTTGGAAGGCAAGCACCTTACCCACTGTACGATCTCTCTAGTCCCATAATTTTTTAAATGAATAAATAAGTCATTTCAGTAATAGTGAAATCCATTAATAGGCATTCCTCCCTAGCTATTTTTCAGATGACTATGACCTAACAAAATCTTCATAGGGATTGGGACCTTTTATGGCAATTCTAGAATCTTTCTAACTCAAAGCTGATGAATTTTTTTTTTTCTGATGCAAGCTACCAAGATGTCGGTAAGCCATTCAAATTTTATATTCACATTTTCTATTTGTTCTTTTAAAAAAAAATCTTCTAGTGCCTATTGATATCAGAGGTCATTAAAAAGGAAATGTGGATACAACTCAGAGTAAATCAAAGTCCAAACCTTGAACATCTTTCTAGAATATCATATGTTTGTGATCATACCTTATATTTACTCTACAAGGCTGGATAGTTGACTCCCAGGTACTAATCTTTCCAAGTGAGAAATCTTCATGTTGCCTAAAATTCCCACTCGTCCCACATTCAAATCCAGCCAACCACCTGGTTTATTAATTCTACCTTTTGAGGGGTTACTCAGTCTCCAGGGCTGTTCCCCGTGCTCAGGGAGCCAGATGGTGCTGAGCATCTAACCTGGGGTCAGCCAAGCAAGGCATTACTTGCTCTTCTACTTTTTAAGAACTCTTGAACCGTCCCCCTATTCTCCATAGCCTTGGTTCACAATCTAATAGTCAATCCCAACATTTTTCTAATGTCGTCCTAAACACAAGTGCCTCACTCTCATACTGGTTTTTCCCTTCTCTTTGTTGCAATGACTGGGGCTCACACACTGGGTTATGTTGTCCCAGAGGTCGTACTTGTAGTGCACCAGCGACCACACAAGGACAGTGACCGGAGGTGATGACGCTGGGTGTTGTGAGGCAGTGGGGTTTACTCCCAGGCTCGGGTCCAGAACCTCACTTCCCCGCAGCAGGATCCCACCCGGCGTCTCGGCCTCGCCCTTGCCAGAGCCCGTCCCGCTCCGTGGGCTACCCGCCCTACGTCCTGGCTCCGCACATCCCTGAGTCGGTTCAGCGCCGTGCGCCCCCTGCATCCTTCAGCTACGTCCACGTCCCTCCCTACTCCTCGGCCCCGCCCCCCCTTGAGTTCGGTCCGCCCCTGGAAGTCAGGCTCCGCCCCACGCGCGTCCGCGCTTCAGCCGCGCCCTGGCCCCGCCCTACGCCTTGGCTCCGCCCAATCCTGAGTCTGCCCCGCCCCGTGCGCGCCCCTCACCCTTCAACTACGCCCTGGTCCCCCTTCCTATTCTTGGGCCCCGCCCCTTCTTGAGCCCGCCCATCCCCTTGCACTGAGGCTCCGCCCCACGCGCGCCCCGCCCTTCAGCAGTGCCCTGGCCCCGCCCCAGCTCTGGCTCCGCTCAACCCTGAATTCGCCCCGCCCCGTGCCCCACCCCTTTCAGTCAGGCTCCGCCCCACACCCGGGACCCGCCCTTCAGCCCCGCCCTGGCCCCGCCCTTTATCCTGGCTCCGCCCCTCCCTGAGTCCGTCCCGCCCCGTGCGCGCCCCGCACTCTTCAGCTACGCCCTTGTCCCCTTTCCTATACCTTGGCCCCGCCCCCCATGAGCCCGCCCCTCCCCTTGCTCTCAGGCTCCGCCCCACTCGCGCCCCGCCCTTCAACCGCGCCCTGGCCACGCCCTAAACCCTGGCTTCGCCCAACCCCGAGCCCGCCCCGCCCCGCCCCGTGCAGGCCCCGCACCCTTCAGCCACACCTTGGTCCCGCCTCCCTACTCCTCGGCCCCGCCCCTCCCTGAGCCCGCCCCACCTCTGCACTTAGGCCCCATCCCTCTGCCATTCCGTGGCCTCTCCCTACCCTCTGGCTCCGCCCAATCCTGAGTTCGCCCCGCCCTGTGCGCGCCCCGTCCCTTCAGCCACGCCCTGGTCCCGCCCTACGCCTCGGTCCCCGCCCCTACGCTCAGGCCCCGCCCCATGCCCTGGCCCCGCCCATCTGCGGCCCCGCCCCGCTTCGCGGCCCGGAGCGCCGTCCGGGCGGAGCCTCGCGGTACCCGGGCCGGTGCGCAGAGCCGGGAGCACTGGGCCCGAACCCCCGCCCTCAGGCCCGGAGGTTCGGGCGAGCAAAGATGGCCGCCCTGACGACCGTGGTGGTGGCGGCGGCGGCCACGGCGGTAGCCGGGGCTGTGGCGGGGGCGGGGGCGGGCGCCGGGAGCGGCGTGGGAGCAGCGCCGGGGCCGCAACAGGTAAGCGAGAGGCGAGGCCGGAGCGGCGCGGGGGCGCGGGGACGCTTGGGGCGCGGCGGCGGGTATCGCTGCGCCCCCGGAGTCCCCTGCTAGGGACTTGGGGGGCTCGACAAAGACCTGGGCGGAGACCGGGCGCTGCTGCTGAGGGGCCGCCGCTAGGAGCGGACAGCGTGTGCCCTGCAGACCGCGAGGGGCATGCACCTTCCCGGGCGTGGGCACCCGGTCTGGCCAGCGCCCCGCACCGGGCTTGCTCGCAGGCATCCTGGGTCCGGAGCCTGGGTCGGTTCGGGTCCCAGTTCTGCTGGCGGGTCGCAGGGCGTACAGCTGGGGGTCGCCCGAGGCCGGCCGACGCCTTCGGCCGCCCCCCGCCCTGCTCTCGGACGACCCCGGGCTCCTCGGAAGGGCTTGGTGAGGACCCGGGTGGCAGGTGCCATTCCCTGCCGGCCCACGCCCGACGCGTGGGCGCCGCCTCGCCTCCCACGAGCTAGGAGCCGGAGTCGGGCGCTTCCCACCTCCCACCCCTGCTGCCCGCGCCCGGGCCTCGCCGATCGATCGCTTCTCCTCACCGATCTCAGTGACCCTCCAAGGCCAGGGTGATTGCGTCCCCGGAGAGCTAAGTTACCCTAAATTCTTTCATTCTTAGAGTGTGGGATTGCATAAATGTTCCCACGAAGAAAAGCCATCCTGCGCCCTAGCAACAATTCTTTTGTTGTGTGCCGTTTGCTCCAATTACCACCCCCAGTTATTACTGTGTTTGGCGGCTGAAGGTCATTCATCTCTGTGCCCCCCTCAAATGCTCTTTTTCTTTCTTTTTCATTCATCTCTGTGCCCCCCTCAAATGCTCGCTTTCTTTCTTTCTTTCTTTCTTTCTTTCTTTCTTTCTTTCTTTCTCCCAAGGATATTTTAATGAATACATTAAATAAAAGCAAACGGTTCGGGGGAGGATTCAAAAAAGAAATCAGGACAACAGATTGGTAAAGCTGGAACTAGCTTTCTCTTCCCATTAAACAAAAAGATAGTTTAAAATTCCTACCTATTACATTTTGAGAAAATGAAAACTTTGTATATATCTCAAGATGATAACTTTTTTAACCTTAGCATCTTAACACGCATAACTTTGTGATTATCTTAACATACTAATACATCAAGCAACTTTTAGCAACAAGATCAACTGAGTTTGACTGGAGTAATTGTACAGCAGGTAGGGTATTTGCCTTGCATGCTGCAGACCTGGGTTCGATCCCCGACATTCCATAGGGTCCCCTGAGCACCACCAGGAGTAATTCCTGAATACAGAGCCAAGAGGAACCCCTGAGTATTGCTGGGTGTGACCCGGAAAGCAAAAAAAAATAAATTTTTTTTTAAATCAACTGAGTGTATCTTTTTAAGCTTTTGGACCACAAGAGCCATCCAATGTACTTTCTCTCACCCAGTTTTGTTGTTGGATCCTGATTTTCTGGAGGCATCTCTAACATTGTTATACTAGTGCTGTCCTGGTTTTGTATCAGGATAGGACTTACTGTATTTTTTCTAGTTCTTTCTGGTGACCTGAATTTTATGGACCTTGACAGTTTAGCCTAACTTTCAGTAATAACTGCTTCTTGTAGGGTGTTTGCCTTGCACACTGCCGACCCGGCCGACTCAGGTTGATTCCTCCGCCCCTCTCGGAGAGCCCCAGAAGCTACCGAGAGTATCTCGCCCCCATGGCAAAGCCTGGCAAGCTACCTGTGACGTATTTGATATGCCAAACACAGTAACAAGAAGTCTCACACTGGAGATGTTACTGGGCCTGCTCGAGCAAATCGATGACAGTGATAGTGACAGTGATTTTAATTCAAATGGATGTTCTCTAGATCACACATATGTATAGAGCTGTGTGAGACTATATAATCCTCCCCCACCCCGGATATGAATAAAGAATACTGGTAAAAATGAATATATGTTAGTGTGAATATTTGTGTGTGTGTTTATATCTATGGGAATGGGCAGAGCGATAGCACAGCGGTAGGGTGTTTGCCTTGCACGCAGCCAACATGGCCGACCCGAGTTCGATTCCTCCGCCCCTCTCGGAGAGCCCGGCAAGCTACCGAGAGTATCTCGCCCACACGGCAGAGCCTGGCAAGCTCCCCGTGATGTATTCGAAATGCCAGACACAGTAACAACAAAGTTTCCAATGGAGACATTACTGGGCCCGCTGGAGCAAATCGATGAACAACGGGAGGGCCTTTACTTTTACTTTACTGTGGTGATCGGGGCTTACTCCTGGTGGTGTTCAGGGACCATATGTTGTGCCTGGGATCAAACCCAGGTTGGCCATGGGCAAGGCGAGTGCTTTACCTGCTGTACTATCACTCCCTTATGTGTTTGCAACTTTTTTTAGAGGCAGTACTTTTCAGCTTATTTTATGAAGTCGTACTTGCCCTGATATCAGCAGTAAGAAAAGATAGCACGAGAAAGAAAATGTCAGACCAGTACAAATACATGTATTTTCATGAATACAAATGCAAAAATCCTCAACACAGTACTACTGGCAAATATAATAACACCTGAAGAAGATTACAGACCAGCGTCCTTTGGAATTTGTCCAGACATGCAAGGTTGGCTCAGCGTATGAAAATTAGTGAACATAATAGGACATGGTAAAATAAAGGATAAAGAACCCCACAGTCATCTCAATGGGTACATAATCGAGTACCCTTCGTGATAAGCCTAAGGTAGCAGTAGGAGGGACCTTAGCGTCTGCTCTCAAGGCCTCTCTGGAACATCCACAGATAACAAAATACTCAATGACTACAAGATTGAAAGCATCCCACGTAATCTGGAGAAGGGCACGAATGCTTCTGCTGATTTAGCCAGGGTAGTTAGGAAAGAAAAACAAAAGCATCCAGATGGGAAGGGATGGAGTAAAACTGTCATCATCTGCAGGTGATGTGATCCAGTTCTCCTTTCTGGACTTAAGTGTTGGTGAGATGTTGAGGGGCTGGAACTCCACACAGCACTTGCGGGCATGGATGATGATAAGAGTCATAGTGGGAAACAGCTTAACAGCTTTTCAAAAAGTCATGAGCATTTGTACGTCGATGTGACCAAGAAAGTGCAGAAACAACTCGCAAATCAGATAAACAGGACAAGGGACTTATGTCCAGAAAGAACATGTCCAACTCAACTGCAAAGACAGCCAGCATTTTTATTTTATTTTTATTCTTTTATTTTTTGCCTTTTGGATTACGCCCAGCAATACTCAGGGGTTACTCCTGGCTCTGCACTCAGGAATTACTCATGGCGGTGCTTGGGGGCCAATATGGGATGCCGGGAGTAGAACCAGGGTCAGCTGCGTGCAAGGCAAATTCCCTACCTGCTATGCTATCACTGCAGCCTCACCTAACGTTTTTAAACGAGAAAGTGGAAAATAATTCACCTTAGGATCCAGAAATTACGCAGCTAACTATAATGATATGAAGTTAAAAACAAAATCATACTCGAATTTGTAATGTCCACGTAAATGTCCATAGTAGCACTATTTGTATTGGCTGATAGTGGAAACAATACTGTTGTATATCAACTAATGAATAGATAAGCAAAACAGAATAAGCCCATATAAAAAACAAACTGTTTTTTATAACACTGTCCTCCCGTTGTTCATCGATTTGCTAGAGCAGGTCCAGTAACATCTCCATTGTGAGACTTCTTGTTACTGTGTTTGGCATATTGAATACTCTCAGTAGCTTGCCAGGCTCTCTGAGGGGTGGAGGAATCGAACCTGGCTTGGCCGGGCTGGCTGTGTGCAAGACAAATGCACTACCGCTGTGCTATCGCTCCAGCCCACATAATGGAATATTATTCAGCCATACAAAGAATAAAATGCAAATTCCCCAAACAGCATGGGTGCAATCCAAAAAAATATGCTAAGTAAATAAGACTGGATGCATAATACATATTATATTATGTCCTTTTTTATTAATTGATCAGAATAGGCAAATCTGTAGCATCAGAAAATAGATTTCATATTTGCCAGCACCTCGGAAGGAAAGGGATGGGAAGTGATTGCTGATGAATAGAAGGTTTATTTTTGGCCTGATAGAAATATTCTGGAATGAGATAGTGGTGATGGTTATGCAACTTGGTATATTAAAAACCACTAAGTTATACACTTAATGGAAATTATATATGAATTTAAAGATATGTCTTAACTGCATTAATTTTGCTTGCTCCAAAAATTAAGGCCTGTCTCCTTAGGGGGGCAGGGGGAGCGGGAAACATGCCATTGCTCAGGGTTTATGTCTGGCTCTGTGTACAGGGATCACTCCTGACAGACTCTGGAGATCATATGGGGTGTTGGGGATCGAACCTGGGTTAGCTGCGCAAGTGCCATACCCACTGTATTACTGCTTTGCCCTCTGACCTGTTTCCTTTTTCACTCAGTGTCCACATTTAAATGAGTGTCAGCATTTCTTCTTGGTTATACCTCCAGAGCATATTTAGTCTTCAGGCTGGAGCCGTAGTACAGTTGAGTAGGGCAGTTTCTTTGCTTGTGACGAACTGGGGTTTGATCCCCAGTATCCCATGATGTTCCTGGAGCCCTCCAGGAAAAATTCCTGAGTGCAGAGCCAAGAGGCGCTCCCGAGAGCAGAGTCGGGTGTGGCCCAAAAACAAAAATTCACAGCAAAACAAATTGTATTCATTCTTCCTTCCTTTAATTTTCTTTTAAGCAGTTTCTTTAAAGCATTTGTCATGGGTATTATTTATTGTTTGTGCACTTTTCTTTATAAATGCTTCCCTCGGTAGGCTGAGAGGTAACTCAGGGGGGCTGAGCGCAGGCTTCGCATGTAGGAGAACCAGGTTCAATCCCAGCACTGCACTCCAAGCTCTGACAGGACCAAACACAGAGCACAGAAACAGGAATAATGGCCCTAGCACCATCAGATGTGGCCCAAAGACCAAAACCAAAATCTGTTAGCCTCGCTAGAGGTTAAGTAAGGTAAGGGCCATATAAACGTGGATCATCACCCTGCTATTTTGTGTCACACTTAACATGTTGTAAGTGTGCAAGATATTTTTATCACATTACTAAAGGAATGCTACATCTTTTTGGCAAAATCCCCAGAGATATAATATTTCTTATACAATAAGTTAGCATAAAAAATACTAAATCTAGGGGGCTGAAGAGATAGCATAGCGGGTAGGGTGTTTGCCTCGCACGCGGCCAACCTGGGTTTAATTCCCAGCATCCCATATGGTCCCCTGAGCACCACCAGGAGTAACTCCCGAGTGCAGAGCCAGGAGTAACCCCTGTGCATCGCCAGGTGTGACCCAAAAAGCAAAAAAAAAAAAAATACAAAATCTATTTTAAAAAATTAAGATTGACCCCAAAATTATCCCCAAGAAGCTCCATTATAAATATTTATTAGAAAAAAATCTTTGTCTTTTGCCATTGTTGATGAAAAATTTATTTTTGTTCTTTATGCAGAATGATGGCAGTTTTGGTACTGCAGGTGGAATTCGTTCTTTTCAGCTGCAAAACCGGAAGCAGAGAGTTAATCGGACTAAGAAAACAGAATTCATGCACACAGCAGAAAGATTAAAAAATCAGTGAGTATAAGAACAATTTCTCCATTTAACGTTATAATCCACTTATTACAAACAATATAAATTTAATTCTGCCCCACTTTCCCTAATCCCACATTAATTTACAAACATCTAGTCATAAGAGAAAGATGGGAAGTATGAAATAGATAAATGATAATAGACTAATGCAAAGTTAATTTGGAATAGTTATTTTAGTATCACTTATGTGTTTACCATTTGAATCAGTGCACTTTAGGAGAAAAAAAAAGAGTTTCTTCAGATCCCATAATGTCAAATAACAGATTTAATTCTTTTTATTTTGGTAGTTTCGGGAGCACAAGCAGCAGTGCTCAGGGCTCACTCCTGACTCTGCACAGGGCTCAGGGACCCTATGGTGTGTGGGAGGAGTGACCGAATAGCCTGAGGGCACCTCCCTGGGGGTGCTCAGGCGTCAGGCCCTGCGGTGCTGGAGATGACCTGGGCCACCCCAGCAGTGCTCAGGGACTACCAGGGCTGTAGCTTGTGATGTTGGAGGGTGGAAGGGGTTTGCCGTCTCTCCTCTCCCCCTGGGGTCATCTCCACACCTTACTGCTAGTTAGAACCCTGTCAGTGTTCGGGAGCCATATGGGACCCGGGGCAGCCCACCTATTTCCCCAGAGCAGCTTATAAATGAGAAGTTTTCCTCTGTAGCAAAGAGGAAAGATCAGGAAACTACCTAGTGGCCCGAGTTTAGGTTAGTTTGAAAAAAAAAAAAAACATCGTACTCAGTAAGCCCAACATTGTGGAGAAGGATTCGTGTTAATTTCTACTTTTCAGAGAGAAAGAAAACAGGAGTAGAAAGAATAAATTCTTCACAAAAAATCTGATGGTATTTGTTTTATTTCACTCAGTGACTTAGTCCAACAATTAGAACTGTTTACTGGTGTAGGTTGACTAAATGCAGGGAACAAAAATGAGATAAAGTAAACTTTGAAGGAAATCAAAATAATATCCACTACACATACTAAGTTTCCTCTCTCATGGATTATTTGTATCTTGTAGTTTTGTTAACTCATATTAACAGTTTGCATTTCCAAGTACTTTGTTTTACTGTATATAAATACCTCATGTGTTTGATCTCTGAAATGTTAATCACAGTCCTACTGAGCAGTGAAGAACTATTACTCACAGCGGGTAGGGCGTTTGCCTTGCACGCAGCCAACATGGCCGACCCAAGTTCGATTCCTCCGCCCCTCTCGGAGAGCCCGGCAAGCTACCGAGAGTATTTGATATGCCAGACACAGTAACAACAAAGTCTCCAATGGAGACGCTACTGGGCCCGCTCGAGCAAATTGATGATCAACGGGAGGGCCTTTTTTTTTTTTTATGGGAGAAAGGCAAAGGAAGATGGGAAATTCTTTTAAGGATGATTTAAAGTCCACAGGGGTATCACTGGGCTGGACATAATAACTAATTTGAGAGGTAATTATGGACAGCTTTCAGATTCCTAGACCACAGCTACTTTGACTTTTATTCTGATCAGAGTACTTCTTTTTTGACTCAAAAATCAGCAGTGCTGCTCTGCGCTCAGACATCACTCCTGTCAGTTCTCAGAGAACTATGTGGTGCTGGGAATTTGCCAGGGTCAGTTGCATGCCAGGCAAGTGCTTTCTACAACCAAAAAAGTGACTTCAGAATTGAGCATAGTATGCTGGAAGAATTGGAAAATAAATTGATTAACAACAGTAGAACAGTGATGAGAGCCATACCGTTTACATGTCTCTGTTCCAGCTTCAAAGTTCACTCTGTGTCTTCAGTCAAAAGCAGTCATCAGCAGGGGTGGCATTTTTAGGCCAGAGCATGACTGAGGCAGAATTGATTGTTAAAGGCTTATATACTTGCAAACAAATCTGTAACTGCATTTTCCTATTAACATTTAAAAACTTTAAATAGTAATTCAAATACTTGTGATTTTAGTTGAACTTAACTTTTTACCAATACTGTCTTGATCCTTAGCTTTATTATAAGCCCAGGTAGAGAGTACTTATTATTATGAGCGTCTTGATATATTACGCAATTCAAAATATGTTAAAATCACATTTATCCATTTCTTTTCCTGAAGAGTTATTAACATAGAAAAAGATAAACACAGTCATTTCTACAACCAAAAAAGTGACTTCCGAATTGAGCATAGTATGCTGGAAGAATTGGAAAATAAATTGATTAACAACAGGAGAACAGAAAGTAAGTTTGAATTCATGATGAATTAAAAACTGTTGAGTGATAAAAAGTGGTAGTTGTGCCCTGTGCTTGTCTTTATGGATTGACTCTGTGATAGTCTCTCTCAATATGTCTTTTGTGTGTGTGTTTGGTTTTTGGGCCATACCCAAGTGATGCCCAGGGGTTACTCCTGCTCTGTACTTAGGAACTACTCCTGATAGTGCTCGGGAGACCAAATGGGATGTCGAGGATTGAACCTGGGTTGGCTACATGCAAGGCAAACGCCCTCCCCACTATACGATCACTCCAGTCCCCAAGAAATTGCACCTAATTCCTCAAATACGTCATACCTCAAAGATGAAGCACAGTTTCACCCTGCTCTTAAATGGTACCACACATACAAGATTGGCCTGTGCTATGCGAATCCCAAATGCGTTAGTAAATGCCCATTGCCCTACAATGGTGACACTATAGCTGATCAAGTTATGACGAAAAACAAAGAACAAAAACACTTGTTCTGATTACGTTCACTAAAGTATGTGTCTTGTCTAGGGCCACACCCAATGTCCTGGGGGGAGGGGTCGCTGCTCCTGGTGCTATGCTAGGAAGTGGGGCTCCTGCATGCAAAGAATGTACCCAGTCCACATGCTGTCTCCAGGACCCCCATTTTTACTTTTTATTTTATTATTGTTGGGGCCACTCCTGGCCTGCTGGTGGCCACCACGGCATGCGTAAATAAAAATCAGCCTCTCCCTCCTCTCTCTCAGGATCGATGTTTAAAGGTCGGTACATGGGCACCACCAGGGGTCACTAAGGAATAGCCCCTGAGCACTGTCTGGTGTTGCCCAAAAAAATTTCCAGTACACTTATCTTCACAGGTGGGAAGTTGAAGATACTTTTTTTTTTTTTGAGGGGCTACACCTAGGGATGCTCAGGGTTTACTCCTGGCTCTGCACTCAGAAATCACTCCTGGCGGTGCTTGGGGGACCATATGGGATGCCGGCGGAGGGGGGTTGACCTGGGTCGGCTGTCTCTTCAGCCCCGAAGATACTTTTATAATATAACTTAATCCCATTGTGATTTTAAATATTGCAGAAGTTAGATCTTTATTTAGAGCAATAGTACTTAAAATATTCAGGCTGTTCTGACACAATGAACCATCTCGTGTTCATTATGTAATTGGTCTTGGCTATCTTTTCCTGAATGATAGTAATGACTCATACCTGGGCTGCAACTGCTTTTACAATAGAAGTATGTACAACAGTTCTTAAAGTACAAACTTCTTCCTTATAGGAGCACGAATTCAGCAACAACTGGCTAAAATACATAACAATGTCAAGAAACTGCAGCACCAGTTAAGAGATGTGAAACCTACTCCTGACTGTAAGTTGATGGAGAGCTCATGCTTTTACATCTCTTAGTTTTTCCTTTTGTTCATTAGAAAACCTGCACTGTTCTAATAAGAAATTTGCATTTGCATTTGTATGGGAAACAGACCTACTCTGTTGGTCAGAGATTAATAAAAGTAGGTTGGAAAACTAATATCTGATATGCATGTTGAATTCCTTTTTGACCTTTAAAAGGCTATCAAATCATGAGGCTGGAGTGATGGTACAGCGAGCGGGTAGGTCTTGCACATGGCTGACCCACCCGGGTTCGATTCCCAGCATCCCATATGGTTTCCCGAGCACCACCAGGAGTAATTCCTGTGTACTGAGCCAGGAGTAAGCCCTGAGCATTACTAGGTGTGGCCCCAAAACAAAGCAAACAAAAAATGTTATAAAATGCATAAGAAGAAGGCAAATCATAGAGTCGCATACACGATAGGCTGGAGAATCTGGTGTGAAATCTCAGACTCAGCTGGTGAAGAGGAAGAAGGTTGATTATCTCATCTCTTGCCTAAGCTTTTCTAATTATTTTGCTTCTTAAATTAACTACCCTTTTAGAGGCATTTTGATTATCTAGATGAGGAATTTAGTTGTACTGGGGCAAATGCTAGCCCTTTGAAAGGGCCACATTTTATCCTTCGGTCAGTATTCATTTCTGAAGGATCAGAGCACTGCCGCAGGGGACTTGAAGATGTGTGGACTCAAGAATCAGTGAGAGGGGCCAGAGAGATCCAGAACAACAGAGATGGTGCTTGTGTGGAACACAGCTGACCCAGGTGCCATTCCCAGCACCCCAGACACTGCCCTAAGCCCGCCAGGCGTGAGCACTTCCGGGTATGACCCAGGAACAAAAACAAAAAAAATCTTAGAATTTGGGTCTAGCCTGTGTTTTTTACTTATTTGTGAAGTAATATTTTGTGTGGTCATTTGATCTCCCTGGCCTTTCATTTCCTTGGCGTAAATGGGGCATCGAGGCCCAGTGCAGTGCCTCTGACAGCAGAGTACGCGCTATTAGAAGGGTGAGTGGAAAACAGCATTATTCGATTAACACAGCAAACCGCATAAGCACAAGGGGACAGGGGCTAGTTACCTTTATTACTGCAGTATAGTTTGTAACATAGGGTCAGAATCCTCAAATACTCAGCAAAACGGGCATCGAAGGAACTTTCCTCAGTAGAGTGAAAGCCCTCTACCACAAGCCCACGGCAAGCATCATCCTCAGTGGGGAGAAACTAAGAGCCTTCCCTCTAAGATCAGCCCAAGACAAGGTTTCCTGCTCTCACCACTCCTATTCAGTATAGTATGGAAGTAATGGCCATAGAGGTTAGGCAAGAAAAAGATATCAAGGGCATTCAGATAGGAAAGGAAGAGGTCAAGCTATCACTATTTTCAGACGATATGATACTATACTTAGAAAATCCTAAAGACTCTACAGAAAAGCTCCTAGGAACAATAGGTTTGTATAGTAAAGTGGCAGTCTACAAAATCAACACTCAAAAGTCCATGGCTTTCCTATGTACAACTAATAAAAGAGAAGAAAGAGACAATCCTCAAATACATGGCGCCTGGGCTGTGAGCGCCAGGCCCCACCCTGGAGAGGAAAAAGAGACTTCTTTTTAAAAGCCTGAATCTCTAGGCAAAGTTGAAAGGAAAATATTATAGTACATACGGAATTTTCAGAAGTGGAGCCAGTGAGCTAGCCCACTGGGCTGACCTCACACACTGGCTTCGATCCTGGGCATTTTTCTGTAGCACAACTGGGAAAAGCTTCTGGGAATCACTGGGAGTGGCCCAAACCCCTCCCCCCGAACAAAAACACAAAAACTAATAATATCCATATATATGCATATATATATATACAAAAGGATGCTGATGAGTCGTAACAATACAGCTAACTACAGAAAAATTAGTAAATACTATAAAGTGCATTATACAAAAGAAACATAAAGCATGGGGGAAGTGCTCAGGCTTATTGATGCTCATAAAAATGTGGAGCCAGTGATAATGAAACTTCCCTGTCGCTCTGGCAGTGGGACATTGTGCAGAAGGAGCACTGGCAGCCCTCGGGTTGCTGGCCTCGGGGAGAGTGGGCTGGACCCTGGCATGGCGTGAAGTGACTGCGCCTTTCAGAGCCTTTGGCTTGACCAGTTCCTAGGTAGTGTTTGAGGTGCCAGGGAGACAGCTGCGCCAGTCTCTGAGTTTGATCCCAGCACACGACCTGGCCCCCAAGGAATGCAGTCTTTGGTCCTGGTGGCCCCTGTGTCCACGGGCCTGGGCACTCCTCATCAGTGCTGAGCCGAGTTTTGCTGGGAGAGGCCCCTGTGAAAAAGGTATTTGTTTGTTCAGTTGGTTGGTGTAGGGGGCACACCCGGCAATGCTCAGGGCTTACTCCTGACCTTGCATGCAGAAATTACTCTAGGCGGTACCCAAGGGACCGTGTGGGATGCTGAGGATCCAACCCAGGTTGGCCGCATGCAAGGCAGGCACCATCTCCATGGCACTGTTTCTCCAGCCCCTGAAAACTGTTTTTAATCTGTGCATGCAAAAATACATATGCAAAGCCACTTACTATAGCACTGCAGCTGTATAATGCTTAATCTGGTTTGTAGCCATAATTAAATGAATTAGATTCAGATCAGTGTCATGTGCCCATAAAAAGAAAACATTCTGTTCAAAGCTGCAAGTCACAAAACTGTTGTATCCATTTTATGGTAAAAATTAATAAAATTTTCATGTATGTAATGGAGAAAAATCTAGTCAGGAAACAATTATAAAAATAAAAATTTCCTTCTGTGAAAGCACCGCTTTCTGGCCAGGATGTGCTCAAGTGGCACATATAGCTGCAGCCTCTCCCCCCACCACCAGCCCACGGTACTGCCTGGGGAACCCCCACAGAAGCTGAAAAAAGAAAAAAAGACTAAAAAAAGTACAGCTTTATTTCCCTGTAGGCTAAGAATGATTTTTTCCTTTTTTGATTTTGGGCCCCTCCAGCTGTGCTTCAAAGGCTACTCCTGGCTTGGTGCTCAGGGGTCCTCCCCTGTGTGGGGGGATGACATGAAGTGCCAGGCAGGAGTCTCTCCAGAGCTGCACACATACAAGGCAAGGGCACTCCCTAGCCCTCGCTTAGGAATTTTTCTTTTAAAGAAAAGGAACAGCTGCGTAGTATTCCATTGTGTAGATGTACCAAAGTTGCTTTAACCAGTCATCTGTTCTCGGGCACTCGGGTTTTTCCCAAATTTTGGCTATTGTGAACAGTCCAGCAATGAACATAGAAGTACAGATGTCATTTTGACTGTACTTTTTTGCCTCTCCGCGATATATTCCCAGGAATGGTATTACTGGGTCAAATGGGAGCTCAATTTCTAATTTTTTGAGAGTCGTCCATACTGTTTTCCAAAGGGGTTGAACCAGTCGACATTCCCACCAGCAATGAAGGAGGGTCCCTTTCTCTCCACATCAGCACCAGCACCGGTTGCTTTTGTTCTTTTGGATGTGGGCCAGTCTCTGTGGTGTGAGATGATATCTCATTGTTGTTTTGATCTACATCTCCCTGATGATTAGTGATGTAGAGCATTTTCTCATGTGCCTTTTTGCCATTCGGATTTCTTCTTTGAGAAAGTTTCTGTTCATTTCATCACCCCATTTTTTGATGGGGTTGGATGTTTTCTTCCTGTGGAGTTCAACCAGTGCTTTGTATATCCTTGATATCAACCCCTTGTCAGATGTGTATTCGGCAAATATCCTTTCCCATTCTGTAGACTGTCTTTGTATTTTGGTCACTGTTTCTTTTGAGGTGCAGAAGCTTCTTAGTTTAAGATAGTTCCATTTGTCTATCTCTGTTTTCACTTGTTTGGCCAGTGGCGTGTCGTCTTTAAAGATACCGTTAGCTTCAGTGTCGTGGAGGGTTTTGCCAGCCTTGTCTTCAATGTACCTTAAGGATTCTGGTCTGATGTTGAGATCTTGAAATTTACATACAAGTGATTCTACATGGAAAGTATCATGCTAAGTGAAATGATCCAGAAAGAGAGGGACAGACATAGAAAGACTGCACTCATCTGGGGAATATAAAGTAACAGAATGGGAGCAGAACACCCAAAAATAGTCAAGATGAGATCCAGGAGGTCTGCTCCAGGGCTTGGAAGCTGGCTTCACTTGCTAGGGGAAAAGGCAGCTCAGATAGAGAAGGGAACACCAAGTAAGGTGTTGGAGGACTCGCTCGGGATGCAAGATGCGTGCTGAGTGTAGACTATAGACCAAACATGATAGTCACTCAATACCACTATTGCAAACTACAACGCACTAAAGGAAAGAGTGAGCAAAAGGGAATGCCCTGCCACAGAAGCAGGGTGGGGTGGAGGGATGGGGTGTGGGGGTGGGAAGGCTACTAGGATCATTGGTGGTGGAGAATGGGCACTGGTGGAAGAATGGGTACTTGATTATTATATAACTGAAACCCAAGCATGAAAGTTTTGTAAGTCTACAACTGTACCTCATGGTGTTGTGATAATAAACACTGTCCTCCCGTTCATCGATTTGCTCGAGTGGGCCCAGTAACGTCTCCATTTTTTTTTTTTTGAGACTTGCCGTTACTGTGTTTGGCATATTGAATACATCACGGGTAGCTTGCCAGGCTTTTCCGTGTGGGCGAGATACTCTAGGTAGCTTGCCGGGCTCTCTGAGAGGGGCGGAGGAGTCGAACCCGGCTCGGCCGGGCTGGCTGCGCACAAGGCAAATGCCCTACCGCTGTGCTATAGCTCCAGCCGTGATAATAAACAATAAAAATTAAAAAAAAATAAAAGAAAAGGAACATTTGGGGCTGGAATGATAATTAATATGCAAAGTGCATGCTTTGCATTGCAGGAGGCCTGGGTTCGATTGTGACTGTGACCCCCCCAACCGTTAATGGGTATGTCCCAAAAACTGGAAAAAAAAGAAAGAGAACATTCTGATTTATTTCCTAATATTTGTTTCTTTTTTTCCCTAGTATTTGTTTCTTAGTCCTTTTTTTTGTTTTACAGTTGTTGAAAAGCTCAGAGAGATGATGGAAGAAATTGAAAATGCAATTAATACCTTTAAGGAAGAGCAGAGATTAATGTATGTCCTAATCTTATTTTTTTCTCAAACTATTAAACTTTATCTTTCAGTAATTCTCTGGAGCCAGAGAGATTATGGGGGTAAGGCACTTGGCTGGCATGTAGCAGCCCTAGTTCTGTTCCTGGGACTGTACGTGTCCACCGAGCTCTGAAGGGAAGGACACAAATTCTCCACATGGTTTTTGTATAAAAATCATTTTATTGTGACACATCCAAATACCTCTCATTTTAGATTTTTAGACTGCTTTTCATGTTTGAAGTGAATTTTCATTTATATTTAGACACTTATCTCCTAAATAAGGGCCTTAAGGATTACATTTTTCTTTTCCTGGATAAACAGTATTTTTCTTTTTTTTTTCTTTTTGGGTCACACCCAGGAATGCATAGGGGTCACTCCTGGCTTTGCACTCAGGAATTACTCCTGGCAGTGCTCAGGGGACCATATAGGATGCTGGGAATCAAACCCGGGTTGGTGTCTTGCAAGGCACACGCCCTCCCCGGTGTGCTATCGCTCCAGCCCCGTGGATAAACACTTTAAGACTTTGGTTTATAAATGTTAGTAACAAGTGGAGAAGATAATTTCCAGAGAATTATTAAATTTTGGGGAAAGTGGGTGGTTAATGTAATAGGAATGGGCTTATTATATGTTTTGACCAAACCTTATTTTTTATTTTTTTTTTACCTGAAGCACCGTGATCTATAATACTGCTACGATAGAGCTTCATGCGTGTATTCTTCCAATAGCCTCCGCCAATGGTCACTTCCCATCCCCACTGTCTCGGGGTCCCCCTCACCCCCTCAGACCTCACCGGTTCTGAGGTTCTCTTGTCTTTGACCATCTGCTACAACTTAGGTTTTAATTTTAGGTATGAAGAACTAATAAAGGAAGAAAAAACAACTAACAATGAGCTAAGTGCCCTCTCCAGAAAGCTTGATGCCTGGGCTCTGGGTAACTCGGAAACGGAGAAGGCGTTGAGAGCCGCATCAAGCCAGACCCCCCCAGACAGATCCGCACCACGCGCTCTGCCAGAGGAAGTGGTGGAGTTTGAAAGATTCCTCCAGCAGACGGGAGGGCGCCAGGGTGGCTGGGAGGATTATGATCACCAGAGCTTTTTAAAAGTGAGAAGCAAGCATAAAGGGAAGCCAGCTTTCATCGAAGAAGTTCTAGAACAGCTTCCTGGAAGAACACGGGATGAAGTCCAACACCATGAGAAATGGTATCAGAAATTTCTGGCCTTGGAAGAAAGAAAGAAAGAGGTAATGATAATAATAATAACAATAATACAAGTTCCTTGTTGGGCTGGAGGGATGGGAGAGGGACGGGGCCCTTGCTTGTCTAGGGCCAATCTGAGTTTGACCACTAGCATCCCTTACGTTCCCTGGGTAAAGAGCCTGGCTAAGCTCTGAGCACATCCAGGTGTGGACTCACCCCGCCCTCAAGCGGAAAACAAATCCCAGTTACTGGTTACATTTTTCTGTGTTCCAGGCATTGATGCTTCAGTGTGCCTCATTAACTTCACAACTACCTCCTCAGATAGTTTTAATTTTCCTTTTCCCCTCTATCTTCTTGAGAAAGTAAAGTAACGGACACATGGTTGGACCTCCTCAAGGACTGAGGGGAAGGGAGGGGAGGGGAGGATCCAGCCTGCTAGGAAACTGGTGGAAGCCCCCTCTGCCTGCCAGGAATGAAGGAAATCCAGAGCTATCTACTCACCTAGCAAAGGCCACTTTTCTTTTTTTTAAAAAAGAAGGAGGCTGCAATAGGGGCACATAGAAACTTTTTGACTTTTAAAATGAGTTTTGCAAAGTCAGTCTCATTTAATCTAAGATTCAAATTCAATCTACTTAAGATTCAAAACAAGGAATACCCAGAGGAAATAATGACTCTTATTTATAGCTAATACCTAAAAAGTTCCATTTCCACAAAATCACTGCTGGGGCTTGGGGTGAGATCAGGACTCGGGCTGGCTCTGCTCACTCTCTGGGCTGCATAAGGCTTTGATCGGGGTTGCCCGGTGAGTTGGAGGATGGTTTGCGGCATCCCTGCCATCCACCCACCAGAAGCAGGTAATTCCAGGTTAGTTGGGGTTACTTAATTATCTCCAGGCATGGCTGCGTAAATCCTAAATGCAAAAAAAAAAAAAAAAAAGTTGTGTGTGAGCCGTGGGTTTAGGCAGGCTTAAGTCCAAGTCTCTTTTTAGAGAACTCACTTAAACTAAAAAGCTGTCACTATCAACAGATGAAAACACGTTAAGGAACTTGAAGAAATTCTGGTTTCAGGGGCCAGAGAGAGATGTCTTGATGGGTTGAATCACTGGTCCCCCAGGTACTGCTGGGGATGCCCTTGCTCCCCCAAAAGTCAGCATTTCCTGAGAACTTCTTAGCCTCGATGGGCGCCAACCCCAGACCTTATTCAGAGTCTGGGAGCGGGGCCAGCTCCCCAGGGAGTGCTCCTGCAATAAAGATAACCTTGCTTCTAGCTCATTCTGTGTTTCCGGAGTCTTGATTAATGGGGCTGGAACAACAGTCCAGTAGGTGGGTGCTTGCCTTGTACATGACTAACTCAGCTTTGACCCTGGTGAAGCCCTCCACAAGTGATCCCTGATACAGAACCTGGAGTAAGTCCCAAGTGCCGCCTCATGTGGCAAAAATAAATTAAACAAAAAAAAAAAAAACCCAACCAAAACCCAGCCACCTGCTACTTGATTATTGATAGGACGTTAGAGTGAGGTAGAAGGGGGAAGGAAAGCGGAGGTGCCGGTTACCAAAGCAGGAAACTGGAAGAAAGCAGCAATCTAGGTTTGACTTAAGATGTTCAATGGGAACTTTGCCTTTATCATCTCCCACTTCTTGTAATGTCCTGTGTCTTGTTGAAAGGACGTAATTGCACTTGGAAATCCATGCCTTGCATCTGAGGCCCTCGCTGCCTTCTGGTCACTGACATGCCCAGGTACCCCTGGTGTATTACTCCCAGAATAAGAAGAACAGCAAAAGGGGAAAAAATTAATAGGCCCTGAGTTTCTAGCTCGAGTACCCTTGCTTAGTTTAGTTTTACTTTCTGGAACCTCTTGGTCTTCCTTTGCCCTTCACTGCGAATCTCTGGGAATCAACCCAAATGAGATGCTTCTCCCCTCTGCCCTCCCCCTACACACACACACACACTCACACACACACACACACACAGACCCCCGCTAACACTTAGTTCCTGTCCTTGGTGCTGTGCTCTGGCACCGTCTGCATTTGGTCTCATGCTCCAGCCAGTGCAGGCTGCTCAGACCTTGTCCTTATCGCAGTGGTGTTAGCTTGTGACTCTTGTTAGTCTCCTGTGAGGTGATGCGGTTGTTACAGAATCAGCTACCCAGAAGCTCTTGCCAGCTCTTTCTCATAGAAAACACTTACTAATAGCCCTAATAGAACATTAATGATAGCAAGCCTTTGTGTACCCTTCTCCCCAGCATCGAGTCAGGAGACGCCCCTGAGCACCTCCTGTGTGAACCCCCCAAACCAAAAAGGGGTGGAAGAATAGGGAAAAATGTATTCATATATTAAAAACTAAGTAACCAGCAGCCTACAGCCTTAAAGGATGGGTGTAATGATCCATCTTAATATCTTAATGTACTTTTGCACTTAATGCACTTTTGGTTGTTCAAACCTTTCTGTTTTTTTTTTTTTAAATCAAGTCTATTCAGAATTGGAAAGCTAAAAAGCAGCAAAAACGGGAGGAAATCTTCAAGTTAAAGGAAAAGGCAGAAAACATGCCTTTTGGTAATAAACAAGAAGAGAATCAGAAGCAAAAAGAAGAACAAAGAAAAAAGAAGAAACTGGCCGTTGAAGTTTGGAAAAACCAGAAAAGTATAGAAATAGCAACAAAATCTGCTTCCCAGGTAAAAGAAGAGGAAGAGAAAGAGAAAAAGCAGCAAAAGGAGCGCCAGCGCCAACATAAGCTAAAATTACTACTGGAAAGCTATGCCCAGCAGAAAAAAGAACAGGAAGAGTCTCTGAGACTCGAAAAGGAGCTGAGGGAAAAGAGAGAAAAGGCAGAAAGAAGAAAAACGGCTGCTGATGAAATTTCCAGGTTTCAGGAAAGAGTGAGTAAATGTGTCGCCTAAGTAATTTCTCAATACAGCCTGTCTAGGTCTTACTTCCAGATTCACGTCAGCGAAAATCAAGCATCACTTGCATCTAACGCCTATTGTCTGATGAGTGTCCCAGCCAGCCGGGCTTCCTGATTTCTTCTCATTACAGCCTTAGAACAGGCGAGGTTGAAATAGGAGATTTTCGGGGCTGTTAGCGATAGCACAGCGGATAGGGCATTTGCCTTGCATGCGGCTGACCTGGGTCTGAATCCCAGTTTACCGTATCGTCCCCTGAGCACTGCCAGGAGTAATTCCTGAGTGCAGAGCCAGGAGTAACCCTTGGGCATTGCCGGGTGTGACCCAGAAAGCAAAAAAAAAAAAAAAAAAAGATTTTCGTGTGGTGTAGGAGGTGTGGAGAGACAGTTGTTGGGATGGCTGTGCGGAGCCCAGTGTCAGAGAGACCGCGATGCTTGAGCCTTCATGGAAAGGAGGAATGGGGAGGTGGAGAGGACCAGCGGCAGGAACAACTTGCGGGAGAGGGTTAGCTAGTTAGCTTTCAGGAGCAAGTGCAGCGTAGGCAATGGGAAACAGCTGGAGTCCAGGCTGGAGAGGTAGCCACAGACCAGGCCAGGTGTTTTGTGCCTTCCCTGCCAACTTGGCCAGCTTTCCCCAAGAGTTGGCTTGCTAGTGCCATGCCCATTTCGCCACCGTGATGCAAGATCCTTAATTCGTTCCACTGCCCAGTGTCTGGAGCATTGCAGATCCCTCAGTGTGACGCATGGAGCCAAGGGTACTGGGAGAGGTGGGCTCCCAGACGGTTTTAAACAAATACATGAAAGAAAAATGTCTATTGGAAAGAAAGGCTGTAATCTGAAAGCGGGCTTCAAAAGTATTACAAAGGATAAGACATAGAAAATGACAAAGGGTATGAATGTAGCGGTTGTGAATATAATTATTATAAAATTTTATGTGCATCAAAATATATACTTACAAGACTCAAAGTAAAAAAGTAAGTGAAAGAAAAAGAATAATGAGACAAAACACTTTAATGGAAACCTTCTTTCTTTCTTTGTAAAGTCTCACTAAATAACGAAAGATCCCATGTTTCTCACCCCCACTCCCACCCCCAAATAGCAAGCAGGCCACAAAAAAACTTAGCTAACAGAGGATTTTTTTTTTTTGCTAAGTACAGTAAGAGAGATCTAAAACCACTTATAACTATGCTGATTATAACGGCTTAATTCTTATTAAAGGAACACTAGTTTTATTTTAAGGCATAAAAGAAATGTGAGACTAAAGGAAGTGCATCTATTATAATATTAAGCTAGTGCTATTTAAAGTAATTTAATTTTACTTGCAAGCAACTAAAAACTTCTAATTAGTTTTACTTTCTTAATGTTATCTTCTCTTACTTCTATGTTTTCTTTAGGATTTACATAAGCTTGAGTTGAAAATTCAAGAGAAACAGTCCAAGGAAGATGAAAAGGCAGAAAAACTCAGAAGACTGGCAAAATTAAAAGAAAAGGTCCTCTATTTGAGTCTTTATTTTTCTTAATTCCTTGAGTTGTAAGACTACAAACATAAATTTCATTGTCTATATATATATCCAGGTCAATTTCTGTATCATTTTTTTAAAATTCCATTAATATATTTACACATTGTAAAATACAGCTTTATACAGTGTATAAAATACACTGTAAGCGGGGCTGGAGCAATAGCACAGCGGGTAGGGCTTTGCCTTGCACGCAGCCAACATGGCCAACACAGGTTTGATTCCCAGCATCCCATATGGTCCTCCGAGCGCTGCCAGGAGCAATTCCTGAGTGCATGAGCCAGGAGTAACACCTGAGCGTCGCTGGGTGTGACCCAAAAAGCAAAAAAAAAAAAAAAAAAAAAAAAAAAAAAAAACACTGTAAGCATTTCTTTTTCTTTTTTATAATTTTGTATGGTAAGTACCCATTTTCCTTTACCCTACGTTACTACTTTTTTTCTACACTCCATCCTTTCCTTCATTCTCCCTGGATAAGCCTCTATTTTAGATCTGGGACAGCTCTGAGCCATGCTTAATCTCCCTGGTAATACTCAGAACTAAAGAAGTCGTGGGCTTTCATGGATGAAAAACAAAGGACCCACAATGGTTCAGGGGAAAATGAAGTAATAGATTCAAATCATTGAAATCGGAAAAATAATCCAAATAATAGTTTATCAGGCTAATGGAGATGGCTCAGAGAGTTGAGCTCTTGGTTTGCATGGGGCAGCCCCAGTTTTGATCTTTGGCACCATAGGGTCCTCTCACACTGCCCAGAGCCACCCCTGAGCATTGTCGGGTGTGGCCGAAAATGCACACAAAAACGTTTATTAGACCAAGGGAGTTCAAATTTCATTTTAGCTACATAAGCACAATTGCAAGTTTACTCACGAGGTTAGCTGTGTAAGCACACACAACACACATTTTCATTTGTTTAGCTAAGATCAAGTATGTGTTTTAAAAGTGCTTTCCGTGGGCTGGAGAGGTCAGGGCACTGGCCTGGCATGTTGCCAATCAGATTCCACCCCCAGCACCACATCTGACGCTCCCTCCCATCCCCACCCCTGGCCCCACAAGGAACAATCCCTGGCTTTTTGCTTTCAGTTATCGGGGCTGGAGCAATAGTACAATCAGGATTAGCCTTGAGCGCAGCCAACCCAGCTTCCACTCCAGCACCCCAGATGGTCCCCGAGCCCACCAGGAGTCAGCCCTGAGCATCACCAGGTGTCTACCTCCCGCTCCCACCCCAACAACAAAAAAAAATTCCTAAGGAATTTTTTTTTCTTTTGCTTTTTGGGTCATACCTGGCATTGCACAGGGGTTACTCCTGGCTCATGCACTCAGGAATTACCCCTGGCAGTGCTCAGGGGACCATATGGGATGCTGGGAATCGAACCCGGGTCAGTCATGTGCAAGGCAAATGCCCTACTGGCTGTGCTATAGCTCCAGCCCCTCCTAAAGAAATTTCTTACTAGTACAAACTTAATAGTTCAAGTAAGGTAACTGGCACTCATTTCACTTCTGATGACAGGTGGAAAACAGTGTTAGCAGAGACCCCTCTCGGCTTTACAAACCTACCAAAGGCTGGGAAGAACGCACCAAACACATCGGACCGACGGGCTGCGGGCCGCTGCTCCTGATGCCCCACAGGTGAACGGGAGGTGGGTGCTGGGCACTTGCTAGTAAATCTAGCTGCATGTTGATAGTTTATGCGCTTCCTAAAGGTAACAGTTTACAGTTGAAATTGATAAAATAAGTAAGTAGACATTTTAAAGTTGACATTTTAAACTGTTAGGATTTAAGATTTTCCCCGTATGTATCAGTAATGTTCCTCTCTTCTCCTTAGGGCGATTCCAGCATGGAGACAAGGGCTGTAGGGAAGGTTCTGAGAGAAGGAAATGGTCATTAGGGAGATGGGAATGATCGCATGTTCCCCTGTGCCAGAAGACAGTGATGAACCGTGTTCTTTAAAAACCTAGTCGGATTGGTTACTGTGTTGTGAGTTGACTGTGTGAACTTCCGAGCAGCATTGCCATGAGTGTTTCCTGTTCATACTCTTAGACGGTATTTAATGTGTTTGCTGGACTCACTGATATAAATTTTTTTTTGCATAGTTCATGTTACATTTCAATTCAATACTCTGAACATTTCAAAGATATTTTGTTTTTGTGGTGGCATAGCAAAATTAATTGGGGCAATCATAGGGTGACATTTTTTTAAGCCAAAATTTTATAATATTTATAACTTGGAGAAACATTAGCTTGAATAATAACAATGTGAAGGTTTTTTTTAACTTAAAAAAGTACTTTTTCTAAGTTTGACAGATTGTTGTTTGTGAATTACTACACTTTTGTGTAATAAATATTTTGTATTTGTTTGAAGCATGCTTTGTTTTATATGGGGATATTTTAAAAAGATGCCTCATCTTATTTATACCTTAAGCTTTCTATTACTGGTAACAACCTTTCGGTTTCTCTTAGCTATTCCAACTTTCTCCCTGCCCTTTCTGGACTTTGTACATTTATAAAATCTTGTGTCTTTCATGTCTTCCTGGCTGATGGTTTTCTTTACTGCTTGTTTGCCTCTGAATATTAAAATTCTCTTTTTTGAAACATTGGCTAGCTTTAGAATGCAAAATATACCTTGGCAGCATTTTAAGTGTTTCAAAATTGCTGGACTAGGAGTTGGAATCATAGTACAGCTGGCAGGGTGTTTGCCTTGCATGTGTCGACCTGGGCTTGATGGTCTCCTGAACCTGCCAGGAGTGATCTGTGAGCACAGAGGCAAGTGTAAGCCCTGAGCACTGCCAGGTGTGGCCTAGAAAAGGGGGGCTGCTGTTTAAAAACTGATGGAAATGGAGCCAGGATTTAGCTTAGAAGCTCAGCACATGTGAGGTCCTGGGTACACGTCTCCATATTCACACACATAAAACTGCAAAGCCAAACCAAGAAATGACTGCTACTCTGTATGTGTCTTTTAAGGACATAGAGGAATACCTGTGAATAGTTACTAGGTGTTGACATTAGATTGACAGGAACTAATTCCAGCTCACACAGCACTAATAAAGGAGGGAGATGTTGAGGAAATGTAACTCCAGCCCATACAGACTAGTGAGGCAAGTGAGGCAGGGAGCACAGCCTCGCTGGGGTTGGAGCTCAGGGTTCCACCCTTGCAAGGCTCGTATTCTGCAGAGCCATACACAGCACGTTTTTAAAAAAATACGTATCTTTTAGAAAAACTAGCAAAATTGCATGCAAATTTCTTTTAGCTGATTCAAAAAAACCCCACAAACCTCCTTTAAACCAATTCATGGGGCCGGATAGATAGTACAGCGGGTAAGACATTTGCCTTGCACATGGCCAACCGGGGTTCGGTCCCTGGCATCCCATATGGTCCCCCAAGCACCAAAAGGAGTAATTCCTGAGTGCAGAACCAGTAGTAACCCCTGAGCATCGCTGGGTGTGGCCCAAAAAAGAAAAAAACAAAAACAAAAACAAAAAACCTGATTCATGGGTGACTTTTCCTTAGAAACATTTCAAGGGCTAAAATAACCTAAAATTCCTCTTTTTGAAAAACAGCGATTTTTAGCGTATGCTAAGTTGGAGAATAAGTTGATCTGCTGTTGCAATTTTAAAAACTTTTAAAAACTTACTTTGGGGAAGGAGGACATACCTGGGATCACTTGTGGTGTTGGGGGGGGGTACATTATATATATATGTCAATTTCTTGGCAAGTATAAAATCTGACATTTTTAATCTATGGTGATGACCCAGATTACACCAGCTTTTCTTTGCAAGCTCAAATATATATAATTATATATATTATATATATATATATATACACACACATATATGTAACACTGTAGCACTGTCCTCCAGTTGTTCATCGATTTGCTCGAGTGGGCACCAGTAACGTCTCCACTGTGGGACTTGTTACTGTTTTTGGCATATCAATAAGCCATGGGGAGCTTGCCAGGCTCTGCCATGCGGGCATGATACTGTCGTAGCTTGCCAGGCTCCCTGAGAGGGGCGGAGGAATCCAACCTGGTGGGCCATGTGCAAGGCAAACGCCCCTCCCGCTGTGCTATTGCTCCAGCCCATATACATATGTATATATGTATATGTATATTAAAGTGACTCCTGGTATTCTAGAGAGGATAATGAATGTTTGCACTTGCGTTGCGCGAATATTACGTTAATAAGCCTTCGACCCCCGGCACCGCATAAGGTCCCCAGAGCACCTGATCCCTGAGCGCAGGCAGAGGCCGGAGTAGCCCGAGGGTCTGGCAGGGGCCGGGGCTTGTTAATAAATTACAAAATAAATTACAGTTCGCTTCACTCCGTAGTAAACGGGTCGTCCTACCCAGTCACTATAAACCGGCGTCCTTGCAAACTGAGCGATGCCCCCACACCCATCGGTCCTCGCGTTCTTCCAGAGAGCGACATTCTGCATTCGGCTGGGCGCCGCGTATCCTCCCCCGCGGGAGCGGGCGGCTGGGGGGTTGCAGTGCCCGGGTGGGCCCGCAGGTGTCTGCAAACCCTCGGGGAGGAGCCGGCCGCGGCAGCCCCTCGGCGGGCCCCGCCCCACCCCACCCCGCCCCGCCCCGCCCCGCCGCGCGCCAACTGCTTCCGGGTCGCGGCCGCCGCCGCTTCCGCAGCATCATGGCGGCGGCCGAGGACGAGCAGGCGGCGGGCGGCGGCGACGGGGAGCGGCTGGATTTTCTGCGGGACCGGCACGTGCGCTTCTTCCAGCGCTGCCTGCAGGTGCTGCCCGAGCGCTACTCGTCGCTCGAGACCAGCAGGTAACCTGGTGGCTGGCGGCGGGGGTCCGGGCCAGGGCCGCGGGGAGGCGCGGCGGGCGGGCTGGGGTCCGGGGGGCTCTGGGGACCCCCAGCCGTGCCTCGCGGCCGACCCGCGCTTCCCTCGCCCTCCCTCTCCGAGCGGGGCTGACCCCGCCCCGCCCACCGACCGGGCACCCACCCGCGGCGGAACGAACTTGGCCGGAAGCGTCGCGGGGAGAAGGGGCGAGTCGGCGCGAGGGGGGACCCGGGGGGCGGGACCGGAGTTCCCGGGGGAGTGATCCGCCCGGGGCTTGGTCCTGGGTCGGTGGGGATTTAGGGAGCCCTGACGCGTAATTCCAAAGTGTAGAGAAAACCCTTCCCCAATCTTCCCCCCGCCCTGACGCGTAATCCCAAAGTCTAGAGAGAAATCCTTCTCCAATCCCCCCTGCCTTGATGCTTAATCGCACGGCCGGGCATCCTCCACCCAGATCCTCCAAACTCCAGTAGGCGGGGGTCACACCCACCAACTGGCCCCCTGGCGCCGTGTAATCCCATCAACGGCCAAGACCCAGAGACTATAAAAACCAGCTTAATCCCAAAATCTAGAGAAAATCCTTCCCCAGTCACCTCTGATGCTTAATCCCAAAGTCTAGAGAAAAAAAATCCTTCCCCATTCACCCCTGCCCTGATCATTAATCCCAAAGTGTAGAAAAGAAATCTTCCCTGATCCCCCCCCCCCCCCCCAACAATGAATCTGTCTCAGCTCTGTCTGATTCTTCCCCCAAACATTGTAAAAAGGAGCCGGCAGCACGTCTCTTCTCTTTCATTTACTAGGTAACACGAGGGCTGGCTGGCGGCAGCTTTTAAATGAGAATGAATTAGAAATGAAATCTAACTGAAATTGATAGTTCTCTGAGTTTGCACTAATGCCCCCCCCCACCCCCGTCTTTTTTCCACCTTCTCCCCCACAGTTCCACCTTGGTTTTGTTGGGGTTTTTTTTCCGTCTAATACTGACTTTGAAGTTTTAAGTGTGTTTCATGTCGTTTTTATTTCATGTTGACTTCTGCAAAAGGACAGGAGTTAACTCAAGTGACATGAAAGCTTGGGTTGTGGGACTGAGATTGTGCAGACCATTGGATGCTTGCCTTGCGCAGAGCAAACTCAAGTTCTGTCCCTTGCACCCCATAGGGTCCCACATCATCACCAGGAGGAACCCCTGATTCTCAGAGCCAAGAGTAAGCCCAGAGCACCACCAGGGGTGGCCCCCCAAACAAAATAAACCCAAACCAACTTTTTGTTGTTTCCTTTTTTTTTCTTGCCTTTTTTTTTTTTTGCCTTTTTTTTTTTCTTTTTGGGTCACATCCCGCGATACTCAGGGGTTACTCCTGGCTCTGCACTCAGAAATTACTCCTGGCGGTGCTCAGAGAAACATATGGGATGCTGGAAATTGACCCCGGGTCGTCCTCCTGCAAGGCAAACGCCCTACCCGGTGTGCTATCGCCCCAGCCCCAAGTTAATAGTATTTTTAATGAATAGTTTGAAGTTTTCATTTTGGTTATGCGATATTGTTTTTTTATGACATCTTATTGTCTTATTCCTACTTTGGACAAACTTGCAGGCTATTGAATGTAGCCTGCCCACAGGGTAGAGTCTGGCAAACTCCCCGTGGCGTACCAAATATGCCAAATACCAGTAACAATGATGGGTCTCATTCTCCTAAATAGCCTTGAATATAATCTCAGGGCAAGGATGAAAGAGACGTTACTGGGGCCTGCTCGAGGCAATCGACGAATAACAGGATGATGAAATGAAATGAAATGAAAATGAAATGATATTGTTACCATTTGTATTTCGTTAATGGAAATTAGGATAGTTATTTTTATTGAGGAAAAACTACTGGCTTTTCTGTTGCTGTGTTTATAGAAGAGTTCCAGAAGGGTTTCAACAATTAGTTTTTGTTTTACAAAACATTCCACCTTCTTGTATCTTCTTTTCTCCATGTTACTCTTCCTATGACCAGTATATTAGTCTTAACAGTGCGCTCCTCCAAGTGTGATGTTGCGGGTACTCCAATGCTCAGTGACATAGAGGTGGTACTCAGAAAAATACAAACACCTGGGATGTCCCGAGGTCTCCTGCTTTAGTGGCTTTCCCCCGGGCCCCTGTGTGTGTGTGTGGGGAGGGGGGGGCATTCAGCTACAGACTCTAGCGTTAGGTTTTGACCACCCATGGAGTCTCAGGTGCTGCATTGGAATAACCTCATGTGGGATGCTGCTGCTGCTGCTGTTCTCTAAACCACCTTTTGAGTTGGTTTTGTGTAGTGACTGTGGGTACAGTGACTCAGAGTCAGGGCTTAAAGAAGGCTGACTGCAAGAAGTCACCCTGGTCAGAACATTACAGAAGGTGTTCGGTTTTGTTTTGGCAGGTGGTACTCAGGGCTTCTACCTGGCTGGACTCAGGGGGACCCTATGTGGTGCGGGGGATCTAACCCAGATTTACTGCATGCAAGGCCAGCGCTCTACCCGCTGTACTGTTGTGCTGCCCAGTGTATTACTTATTTGGAGTGCTAGGAGACGTGGGAGACTCAGTTTATTTACTTTTTTTTTTTTCAGGCTACAGACTCCAACTCTAGGGAGAACAAATAAAGTGGAAAATAACTTTTTCTTTTGGGAGAAAGAATAAGGAGTCTGCTTTTGGGAGCGTGAATAGTAAGATTGCTTTGCAGATTCCTCTCTAGGGAGGGAGCCCATGCAGTCACCTAAAATCTTCTGTGATTTCTCTCAAAGGCTTGCAGGACAAAATTTCTCTGTGTTTTGTGGGGGAGGCCTGAGGTCTCAGCTGAGAATGTACCATGAGTTCTTTTAACTTAGAATACCACCCTTCAACTTTTCTTAGTAGTAGGGCAGTCTGATTTTTCCAGCTTGAGCCCTCCATGCTGTTCTCCACGTGGCTCTGTCTTCCTTTGGCTTTCCCCTACTCTAGGGCCTTATTGTACAGATTGGGTGCTTGATTTTATCTGACCACGAGTCTTCTCATTTTAGACTACAACTAAAAATGAAAACCTTTATAGCTCCCCAGGAAGGTTGGATACGGTATTGTCAGTCATTAGTTAACTCAGTTTATTTATTTTTTATTTTTATTTTTTTTCTTTTTTTTATTAGTGAAACACCATGAGGTACAGTTATAGGCTTACAAATTTTGTGCTTGGGTTTCAGTTATACAATGATCAAGTGCCCATCCCTCCACCAGTGCCCGTCATCCATCACCATGGGTCCCAGCATCCCCCCCACCCCCCATCCCCTCCGTCCCATCCTGCCTAGTTAACTCAGTTTAAACTTCGTTTACTAACTCAGGTAGCTAATACATGCACTGGCATATGAATCATATTTCCCAACAGTAGCAGTGTTTTCCGAACTTGGCTGCTGTTAGGTAGTTTCCCCATTCTGAAATACTTTGTTTTGCATAAAGGTGGTTTCCTAATATATAAAATCTTGCCAATCAGTGACCTGAAGAAAGGGGCTGTAATGTCTCTGTCCTTGAATTGTAAAGTGGGTGTTCCTCCTGCCTCTTCCACTCTGGGAAAAGACAGTAGCAGTAGCTTCTCTTTGGTAAGCACAGTGTCTGTGGGGTAATAATGATTTGCAGATAAGTACATGGAGGAGGTCTTTGAGGAGACTAGGTAATCTGCCCAGTTGACGTAGCAGCTAAAATTGGCCAACAAAGCTTCAGAAAATGAGCTAAGATTCTTACCCAAAAAAAAGGTTCCTCTACCCATAATTTAAATTGCTTTTTATCCAGATAAATCACCTCCATATAAGTGAACCTCAGTGAGTAGTTAGAACTAAATTGAAATAATATGAGAAACATAGTCTTTTCTACATGGTAGACCTAGTAAACAGTTGGATAAAGATGATTTTTTTTCTTTATTAATGAGTCATTGTGAGATGGGCTGGAGCGATAGCACAGTGCGTAGGGCTTTTACCTTGCACTCGGCCGACCCGGGTTCGATTCCTCTGCCCCTCTCGGAGAGCCTGGCAAGCTACTGAGAATATTCGCATACATGGCAAAACCTGGGAGGCTACCCGTGATGTATTCGATATGCCAAAAACAGTAACAAGTCTCACAATGGAGATGTTACTGGTGCCCGCTTGCTCGAGCAAATCAATGAACAATGGGGGACAGTGCTACAGTGCACTGTGAGATACAGTTACAAAGCTTTCATGTTTGAGTTTTGGTCATACAATGATCAGTCACCCATCCCTTCACCAGTGCATATTTTTCACCACCAAAATCCCCAGTATCCCTACCATCCCAACTCTTCCCCTGCCTGTCTGGCAACAATTTCCACAATACTCTCTCTCTCTCTCTACTATGATTACATTCATTATTTTGACCCCAGTTCCACCACCACTCAAACCTGCTGAAAAGGCAGTGCTAGACAGTTTTTTTTTTTTTTGGTATTGCTTATTATGGATAGGATACAATGTTATGGATAATTGCTATGGATAGCTCTTGCGGCTGAACACTCTAGGAATTCTAAAATTTTAATAATTAGGGTCTGGAGAGATCTCTATAGCAAGCTGCTCGGGTCCGAGATTCATGTATGTGTCTCTAGATCATGGCTGTGTAGGAGTTTAATTAAAGACTGATTTATTTTAACATTTATTAAGCGCTAAACATGGGATACAAAATCAATGAAGGTTGTGATTTTTAGTATTTTCTGGCATTGAACTTTATTTATGCTTATTAGAGATATCTAATTCTTCTTTTGAATTAAACAGGTTGCTGATACACGAACCTCAATAAATCTATGTGTGGTTCAAATGAGTAGGATTGATTTCTTTACTCCTACATGTCGCTTACTTTAAAATTGAAGCAAAGCTTTGATCTGACTAAATTTTAAAAATCAGTTTTATTGATTTCTGCAGGGTGGGAGTATTGAGTTAGTTTTAAGTCAGAAAGGGCTTATGATTTATTATTTTATTGGCCAAAAAAAGATTCCAATGGTTAAAGTGGAATCTGACATTTTTTTTTTCTTTCAGGTTGACAATTGCCTTTTTCGCTCTCTCTGGGCTGGATATGCTGGATTCCTTAGAGGTGGTGAACAAAGATGATATAATCGAGTGGATTTACTCCCTCCAGGTCCTTCCCACAGAAGACAGTGAGTGAGTTTTTCGCATTTTATTTTTTGTGTGACTAGATGTACCTGGCATGGCATGTGCTCCGTTAGCAAATCCTGTTTATCCATAAACTATTAATGTATTTTATTTTTCTGTGTTTCCCTTTGTAACGCGTTTCTCCTGTTTCTTTCCTTTAGCGTGTGTAGTCTTTCCTCTCTTGAGAGAACAATTTTGCATTGTCTGGAATTAACTGGAGACTCTCAGTGGTGGCATCATGCTGTTCTGTGACTGCCCTCGTTGGTTATTTGTTGGTGAATCATGTTTGGCATTCACATTAGCTTAGTCTTGTAGCTTTCATTCCTGTTTTTCATTCCTAATCATTCTTCATGCCTTTCTGGTGAGACACCCTGCCATCAGAAAGTTTCCTTTCGAAGTGCTCTTCATTTCCTTTGTTCCATTTGCATTGCTTTCCTTGGGGATGGGGAAGATCTGGGCGAGCTTAGATGTCTCCTAGGACCTTCACAGGCAAGTGCTCTGCCTCTGGGCAAACTCCCTGGTCTGCTCAGGAGCCCATCTTTTTCTCTTTTTCACTTTTTCCGCTGTGCCTGAAAGAAAACTCAGAATGTAACCTTGAGCTCCATCTCCAGCTCTGCATTTCTTTCATGTTTTTTTTTTTTAATGTAGGAGTACTACTATTTATTCAGCCACTGATTAGGCTGATTGAATTGTGCATGAACTCCACCTTTTTTTTTTCATTTTTTATAATTTTATTTATTGAATCACCATGAGAGCAGTCACAAAGCTTTTGGGTTTAAGTCTTGGTCATACATATGAAACACCCGTCCGTTCACCAGTGCCCATTCTCCACCACCAAAAACCCCAGTATACCCCCTTCCCACACCCTCCCCCTACCTGTTGGGCAGATGATTTCCACATTACTCTCTCTCTCTACTTTGATCACATTCAATATTTTGACACCAGACCCACCATTATTATTTGGGATTTTACCCCAACACTCAGATCTGCCGAAAAGGCAACAGTAGACAATTTGTTTTCTATTGCTGGTTGTGAATAACATATGATGTCGCGTGGCTGCAGTAGTGGCCGCATAATTTCAAAATTCCGAAATTTTAACAATTAAATCTGGAGGGATTTCTTGCCAAAACCTGCTGTGTTCTGAGATTTCTTCCTGAGTCTCTTGGATCATGGCCGTTAAGCAGCTTGATAGGAGTCAGAGAGGCTGTTTGTGGGCGGTGACTCGGCATCTCGTTTGGGTGGGGAGGAAAGGGCTGGCTCCACCCCCATCCTGTGAGGCCCCCTTGTCTCGTCACTTCGGACCCAAACCTGACTGTCCAGTGGCCTCTGGAGGATGACGGCCACCAGGCTGCCAGGGGGAACAGACCAGGGCACAAAACCTATTCCCACCTGGGGTGGCCCAGCGCTGGTAACCTGCAGGGACTGGATGCATTTCTGCCAAAAGCCATTGGGTTTCAAGATTTGTTTCTGAGTCTCTGGGATCATGGCCATTAAGCCACTGAGCCACCTAGGGGGAGCAGGCAAAGGGACAGCACCCTTTCCCCCCTGGGGTGGACCAACGATGGTAACTTACTGCGGGATCCAGACGCATTTTCTGCTAAAAGCTGCAGGGTTTGACAATGCTCGAGCAGCAGGGCCCAGGGTACTCTCCTGGGAGAATGAGCACCTTCTCTGGCTTCAGTTCCTCCCGCTGGGATTTTTTTTTTTTTTTTTAAAAACACCTGCTTTGAAAGCATTGTAGAGCCAGGCTTTTTTGCAGAGGAATTCCTACAGTTGCTGACAGATTTCACTCTTTTCCTTACTCCATATCCCCTAAAAGTGGGGACATGGCCTTCGTGTGAAGCTTTGTTCTTCAGTTGTGCTGGTATTGCTTACAGACAGTGATGATTATGTAGTGAAATAAAGTATGCCCCTGTGTCTAGACCTTTTCCCAATCAGGTCACTGTTCTGAGTTCTGAGGTCCCGTCATCGGCGGGGAAACACTATTACAACATCTGTGTCTATGAAAGTTTCCCACCTCACTTTTCTTGAATTGCGCCAGGTATGGTTCCAGAATTAATTTTTGAAATTCAGAAAATTTCTGGGCTTTAATATCGATCCTAAATTAGTTGTAGATGTTGCCTCCTCTTCCTAGGAAATCTCAGGGTTTCTCTAGTCACAAATAGCCATTTTTACCTCTTGAAGACGATGTTCCTGACTTGCTTCTTGCTAATTGCATTAAACTAATTTTTTCTTTGTTTTGTTTTGGCCCACACTCTGCTGTACTCAGGGATGATTCCTGGCTCTGTGCTCAGGGATCATGCCTAGCAGGGCTCTGGGGACATATGGGGTTCCTAATTGCCTTCCATGTGTAGGCACACAAAGAGGGGTTTTCCCCTTTGTAGTTGGCAGCTTAATGCATTGATACAAACACCCACTCTGTTCTCTAATCACACGCCCCTCTCCGTGTGCCCCTGTATTTGTCAACACGCGACATGTACTACACCCTCTCACATATTCCATGTTACAGAACAGAGTAGTTGGACTTCCTGGGACTAGGGTGCTGTGGATACACTCACCAAAGCAATGGTTCTTGATTGTGACTCAGTAGCAGTCACAGAGTGTTTATTTTCTTTTTATTTGCTGTTTTTCCAGGCCAAGAGGTGTCAGTTTTTTCCCCAACAATACCTTTGGTTCTATTGTTCCACTGGGTCACGCTTTGTTTTGTTGTTGCCCAGTAGGGACACTAGATGGCGCCATCTAGTAACCGCCAACGAGGGTTCACGGGCTTAATCCAGCATCCTGCTGCAAATTACTAGTGAATTTTGTGTCTGTCTGTCTGTCTCTCTCTCTCTCTCTCTCTCTTTCTCTCTCCCCTATCCCCCACTCCCAGTGCAGGGTGCCTGATTTATATTTCAGGTGGATGGTGCTCCTTTGGAAGAGATACATATCAGAAAAAGCCAGTTGCCTCAGAAAGTGAAACTGGGTAGATAGGAGGAAATGGAGAAAAAGCAGAAACAGGAATGTGTGCGGGGATGCAATATGTGTTGTGTGTTGACATGTACAGGGGCATGTGGAGAGGCATGTTACTAGAGAGCAGGAGAGTGTAGACACCTCTTGAAAATAGTGGTGCCACTACTTTGGATACACAGATGAAAGCAGGATTGCTGCCCCTATGGTAGCTCCGTTTCTCGCTTGTGTGGACGTCTCTGTACCATTTCCGTGGCGGCCTAGTCTGCACCCCCACCAGCTCTGCATGAAGGCTCCCTTTGCACCCATGCAACTATTTCCTTAAGGTCTTAGTTTATATTTGTTGAAATCTTGAAAAATAGTATACTTTAAAAATGGGAGGAATCAACCTACCTAACTTCAAGCTCTACTACAAAGCAGTAATAAAACAGCATGGTACTGGAACAAAGGCAGAGCTGCAGACCAGTGGAACAGAGTTGAATATACTGACATCTCCTCCCAAACATATAGTCATCTAATCTTCGATAAGGGGGCAAGAAAGTGAAATGGAGCAGGGAAAGCCTCTTTAATAAATTGTGCTGGCAAAACTGGACGGCTACAGCAAAAAAGTGGGCTCAGATCTCTGCCTAACGCCATGCACAAAAGTAAGATCGAAATGGATTTATGACCTCAACATCAGACCGGAATCCATAATGTTTATTGAAGACAAAGTTGGCAAAACTCTCCATGATATTGAAGTTAATGGTATCTTCAAAGATGTCACGCCACTGGCCGAGCAAGTGAAAACAGAGATAGACAAATGGGACTATCTTAAACTAAGAAGCTTCTGCACCTCAAAAGAAACAGTGACCAAAATACAAAGACAGCCTACAGAATGGGAAAGAATATTCACCAAATACGCATCCGACAAGGGGTTGATATCAAGGATATACAAGGTACTGGTTAAACTACACAAGAAGAAATCACCCAACCCTATCAAAAAATGGGGCGAGGAAATGAACAGAAACTTTCGCAAAGAAGAAATCCAAATGGCAAAAAGGCACATGAGAAAATGCTCTACATCACTAATCATCAGAGAGATGCAGATCAAAACAACAATGAGATATCATTTCACACCACAGAGACTGGCCCACATCCACAAGAACAAAAGCAACAGGTGCTGGCGCGGATGTGGCAAGAAAGGGACCCTCCTTCACTGCTGGTGGGAATGCCGGCCTGTCCAACCCTTTTGGAAAACAGTATGGACGATTCTCAAAAAATTAGAATTTGATCTCCCATTTGACCCAGCTATAGCACTCCTGGGAATATATCCCAGAGAGGCAAAAAGGTATAGTCGAAGTGACATCTGCAATTGTTTGTTCATTGCAGCACTCTTTACAATAGCCAGAATCTGGAAAAAACCTGAGTGCCCGTGAACAGATGACTGGTTAAAGAAACTTTGGTACACTTACACAATGGAGTACTACGTAGCTGTTATAAAAGATGAAGTCATGAAATTTACATGCAAGTGGTATTACATGGAAAGTATCATGTTAAGCGAAATGAGTCAGAAAGAGCGGGATAGACACAGAAAGATTGCATTCATCTGGGGAACATAAAGCAACAAAACGGGAGACTAACACCCAGGAATGGCTGAGATTAGTACCAGGAATTTTGCTCCATGACTTGAAGGCCAGCCACATGTGCTAGGTGAAAAGGAAGCTCAGATAGAGAAGAGAGCACCAAATAAAGGGTGTTGTGAAGACCCTCCCAGGGTGGGAGAGACATGCTAAAAGTAGTCTATAGACCAAACATGATTGCCACTCAATGCCTCTCTTGCAAAACACAGTACCCAAAAGAAGAGAGAGAGAACAAGGGGGAATGCCCTGCCACAGCGGCAGGGTGGGACGGGGGGGATGGGGGGTGGGAGGGATGCTAGGGCCCGTGGTAGGGGAGGATGGGCACTGGTGGAGGGATGGGTACTTGATCATTGTATAACTGAAACCCAAGCACAAAAATTTATAAGTCTATAACTGTACCTCATGGTGTTTCACTAATAAAAAAGAGATAAAAAATAAATGAATAAATAAAAAATTTTTTAAAAATAGTATACTTTAGAAAGTGTATTTGTGACTGAATATATTTTGAGTCTTTGAGGTCGAAGGGCTTTCTAAGTATTTTAAAGCTATGTGAGTTCTTGAGCTCAGAACAAAGTTTTGTCTAATACTAGAATAGTGTGTCATTTCTGTCACTGATTCCCTATAAAGAAGCCCTTGAGTTGGAGTAAAAGGACAGTAGAAAGTTAGGATTGTAGGTCCTTTTCTGTTGATTTACATGGAACATGTCACTATAACCTCTGACCCTCAACTCTCTATTCTATACAATGGGGGCTGAATATGTTGGTGACATGAAACATAGTCACATAGGAAAAGTGGTAGGCTGAGAAATAAATTTTACTATGTGGTAGGAAATGATGATTTTTGTCTCTGGTTTGGAATTTCTTTGTTTTTTTTCTGGTGGTGGTGCGCAGGGATCACTCCTGGCGGGGCTCGAGGACCATGTGTGGTGCCAGGGAGTCAACCCGGGCCAGCCACATGTACGGGAAGAGCGCTACCCACTGTCCTATCTCTCTGGCCCTGGGGTGGGAATTAAAAATAAGGACAGTCCCACAAAGTACCTTGCAATTCTGGCAGATAGTGAACACTCAAATTAGCAGGAAAATGGAGTGTAGCAGAGCTTTGATACCAAAGTGTACTTTTCCTGACCGTCTGTGTAATTGAACTGGCTTAGAATCGGTACCCAAGGAAGGGTACATTTTAAATAAGCACGTGTCTTTTTTTGTAGGATCAAATCTAAATCGCTGTGGTTTCCGAGGTTCTTCCTACCTGGGTATCCCATTCAATCCATCAAAGGTGAGTTCTCTTGAGTCAGGAGGAAAGTGGAAAGTGAGGCGGGGGCGGGGGAGCTGAGAAAACAGGACTCCTCGATGCAGTAAATGTCTCCCGAGGGTGTGTCTCACGCGCTGCAGCTCCTTTCGGGAAATCCATACCCTCCCGACTTGGAAGAATACACTGCTCACAAACGTTACATCGGTAGAAATTTAGCAGCACTGAGTATTCCCTACACACATGTATGTGAGGACCAAGTGCATATGCCCTGCGTGCAGAAGCCCCAGGCCCATTCCCACACATTGAATGTCTTCTCGAGCTTCCTCAGGTAATGCCAGGAGCAACCCCTTGAATGGCACCCACTGACCCAGAAGTTCAGAAGACTATAAAACAAATATGGAAACAAAATCAAAACCCAAAATTAGTATAATGTAGAATGTTTTGTTTTTCCAGGAAGTCAGCTTTTTAAAATAAGATCAGTTATTTGACAGTAATTATAAAAACTTGTGGCTTTGTATATTGTGGCATATAGCTCTGTCACATAATAAACAGTTGTTTGGGGGCTACTCCCATCAGTGCTCAGGGTGAGGGACAGGAAGGGCGTCACTCCCCAAGAATCTCATCAGCCGGGTAGGGTGAGTGGGTACTGCGGAGGTGATGTGCCCTCTGGGGGCACCTCTGGCTGCAAGACCTGTCTAACCCCTAAGCTAGTGCCCTGCCCTCTAAATAGTTGGGTTGAGGGGGTTCTTCTTTTGAGGGTTTTTAAGTGTTTTTCTTGGGGGTAGCAGAAGCGGGGTCACTACTCCCAGCTGCACTTAGGGTCACTCCTGGTGGGTCTGCAGGGCTCATGTGTGGGGGATCAAACCTGGGTTGACTGCATTAGAGGCAATGCTCTCTCTGTTCCTTAATGAATTAGTTGTTACTTATCTATTTCACTTTTTTGTGCAGTGCCAGGGATCAAACCGACAGCCTCACACCTGCAGAGCAAACACTCTACCACTGAGCTACTTACCCCTCTCATCAGTTCTTAAATTCAGATTTTTATCTGTGCCACTGCCAGTTCTTTGAGTCTTGACTGTTTCTTTTTTTTTTTTTTTTTTTTGCATTTTTGGGTCATACCCCGGCAATGCACAGGAGTTACTCCTGGTTCATACACTCAATCACTCCTGGTGGTGCTCGAGGGACCATATGGGATGCTGAGAATCGAACCTGGGTTGGCCGTGTGCAAGGAAAATACGCTACCTGCTGTGCTATTGCTCCAGCCACTTGACTATTTCTTATAAGGAGTCACGTTTATACCTTGCAAGGCCTTTTTTTTTTTTAATTTATTTATTGAATCACTGTGAGACGTTACAAAGCTTTCAGGTTTAAGACTCAGTCATACAATGATCAAATACCCATCCCTTCACCAGTGCATATTTTCCACCACCAAGAACCCAAATATACCCCCCATCCCACCCCTCCCCATGCCTATGAGGCAGATGATTTTCACTTAACTCTCTCTCTACTTTGATTACATTAATTATTTCAAAAAAAGATGCACCATTTTTATTTAAAATTTTCCCCCAACAATCAAATCTGCTGAAAAGGCATTGTAAAATAATATGTTTTCTATTGCTGCTTATGAAGATTGTGGCTGCGCGATTTTTGGATTTCGAATATTTTACTAATTAAGTCTGGAGGGATTTCTGCCAAAAGCTGCATAGTTCCGAGATTGGTTTGTGTGCCTCTGGGTCCATGGCTGTGCCAGAGAGCCGCTCGTGGGGGGCAACTTGTGATCTCAGCGAGGTGGGAAGGCTTGCAAGGCCTTTTATAATGATTTGTAGTTACTTTCTTTTGAGACAGTCACATTAGTGAAACTTCTGACACATGCGGAAATAAGAATTTTCTATTGCTAGTCATCTTCATAAAAACCTGGGTTTTTTTTTTGCATTTTTAATATTTTTGTTTCTTGCTAGACCAAGCACTAATGTTTATTAAGCTCAAATCATTAAACTATATAAAAGCATAATAAGTTTTTTCAGCTTACCATTTTTTGATTGTAGTTTGTAATTCTTCAGTGGTGATTGCTATCTTAAAATCATTTGTTTAAAGCCACATGCTTTTCCTAACTTTCTAAGACTTAAATTTTATAAGTGATGTGGTTGGTTACAGAAAGTTCAAGTACTTTGACCTATTTGAATACCGGAACTTTTTCCATAAAGCTTTAAGATCTTTATAGTAAATATTGAAATTGTATAGCCTGTACATGTAACCGTCCTTCTGTTGAGACAGAGACGGAGGTTCTTCTCCACCGATACCCATGCAAATCAGCAGAGACATGGCATTTTACTGATGACTGAAGCCTGGCATCAGTTTACTTAGCAGAGCAACTTTCCATTTTATTTCCTGACTGGACACAATGATTTTGAATCTAGAATCCCGGGACGGCGCATCCGTACGACAGTGGCCACATCGCCATGACCTACACGGGCCTGTCGTGCCTGGTCATCCTCGGAGACGACCTGAGCCGTGTGAACAGAGAGGCCTGCCTGACGGGCCTCCGGGCGCTGCAGCTGGAAGACGGCAGGTACGGCCTGACCCCTGCCAAGGAGCGTGCACTGCCCTCAGACAGTCGAGATGGTGTACTCGGACCTTGGAGAATCAGAGTTCACTGCCTACGCATGTGAAACGCATAATGTGTGCAAGGAGCCCAGGTTGAACTGTTGGGACTCGCCTCACCTGTGAACAGCAGGGCCTGGTGCCTCAGCCCCGGCACCACTGAAGAAAACAGAAAACCAGAATTTTTTTTTGTTTCTTTCTTTTAACAGAGACGGTAGATCCATCAATAAAGAGTTGGATGCTGGGACCAGAGCGATAGTACAGCGGGAAGGGCGTTTGCCTTGCACATGGCAGACCCGGCTTCGATGCCTGGCATCCAGTATGGTCCCTGAGCACTGCCAGGAGTGCAGAGCCAGCAGTGACCCCTGAGCATTGCTGGGTGTAACCCAAAAAGCAAAAAAAAAAAAAAAAGAGAAAGAGAGAGTTGGATTTCAGGATTTTCATCTCCATTCATTTACCGTTTGATGGGGAAGAGGACAGGAGGAAGTCTCTGAAGTAATCTGTTTTATTTGAACTTTGACTCCTGAAATGAGTGTGGTTTGGGGACAAAGGGGCAAATGTTGATGGTTAGAATCTATTGTAGGCTTCAGTGACACTTTTTTTTTTTCTTTTTGGATTACACCCGGCAATGCACAAGGGTTACTCCTGGCTCTGCACTCAGGAATTACTCCTGGCAGTGCTGCTCAGGGGGCCATGTGGGATGTTGGGAATCGAACCCGGGTCAGCCTCGTGCAAGGCAAATGCCCTAACCCGCTGTGCTATTATTCCAGCCGCCTTCGGTGACACTTTTAAAGAATAGGGAAAGTAACTAATTGCTTTCTGGTGCTTTCTGCTATCTGTAACGAAAGAGTAGATTTTTAAGGTAGAAGTGTTGTTTGGGGCGGGCCTCCCCCATGGAGCAGGCTCAAGCCTCGGGATCTGTGCCAGCCACAGCCAGCCCTTCCAACTATCCCTGGCCCCAGATTTTTTTTTCTTTTTTTTTAATTTTTGAAGCAATAAACATTCTCTCTAAGGAAATTACTGCAGTCAGATGCTGCTGTGTTAGAACAGCTTCGTGTTCCAGCTACTAAAGTTCCATTTTCCCATCACTGATTGGAATAACTGGTTTTGAAGAGGGAAAAATTAATGGTGACATATCAGATAAATTGACATTAGTTAGACATAAAATGAATATTTTGGGATAGCCTCGATGTACTGCTATATTATTCTTATTTGTAAATAAAGGAATAGATATGAGACTCCAACCTCTCAAGCCAATAATCACAAATGTAAACATTGAATTAAAACAATATGTAGACCAGTGATTATCTATCTATCTATATATATATATATAGCAAGACACAGGCTTGCGCATTTATGCTCACTAGGCCCCAGCTTTTATTTGTTGTATTTTACTGTCAGTAATCTTCAAGTTGCTGTCTCTGGCCATAAGCCAGGACAGCTAACCCTGGGAAACCGTGGGGCATCGGGCCATACTGGAGGAGAGGGAGATTGACAGGGAGTGTTGTACTATTCACGCTCAGAGACCTGCTCTTTATTGAATAACACAATTGGTGCATGTTGTTTTTTTTTTTGTTTTTTTTTTTTAATAAAGAGACATGTTGATAGATAGATTGTGATAGATTCTTGTGTGGGTCAAGATAAGAAGTAGGTGTTTCTGGAGCAGAGCTATTATAGGGATTTAAGGAGTTTGCCTTGCATGTGGCGACCCCCTGGCACCACGTCTAGTTCCCCCCAGCACTATGAGGAGTGGCCCTTGAGTGCAGAATCAGGAGTAAGCTCTCCGGGCGTGACCCCATTGCCCTCCCCCAAGTAAAGATGTACACGTGCCGAACCCTTCCTTATGCAGGGCACACATACATAGTACTGTGTTCCTAACCAGTCCTACTTCTGTTACTCTCAGTTTTTGTGCAGTCCCTGAAGGCAGTGAAAATGACATGCGATTCGTGTACTGTGCCTCCTGTATTTGCTACATGCTCAACAACTGGTCTGGCATGGATATGAAGAAAGCCATCAGCTATATCAGAAGGAGTATGGTGAGTTTCATTGAGAAATTAACTGCTTTAGGTTGTTATTCCTGGTATATGGAGCCTGCAGTGTAGTGCATCCTTTGTTTCTTTCACCGAGAATTAATTGTTCTTTTTTGTTTTTTGTTTCGTGGGCCCGCCCAGCAGTGCTCTGGGCTTCTGGCACTAAGGGATCGCTCCTGGTAGACTCGGGACCAAACTCAAGTCAGCTGTGTGTGAGGCGAGCACCCTACCTGCTGTACTGCCACTTTGGCCCTCACCAAGAATTTAGAAAAAAGGGCAGTAAGATTTACATCAGAACAAACATGGAAATGCTGTTGAAAGGGCAGGTTGGTTTGCTGAAATGGACTTTGACACATAATCTGATTGTATCTAAAGGAGCAGTGTTTCTTTTGGAAAGAGAATGATCTTTCCTGGAAGCAAAAACAGGAAGTAAAAATCTGAACTTTAAGGGGCCAGAAAGCTAGTGCAGTGAGTAGGGTACTTGCCTTGCAGCACTGCCAGCCTGCCTTGATCCCACACCCCGAATGATCTCCTGAGTCCCGCCAGGAGCGATTGAGCACAGCACCATGAGAAGGTCCTGAGCATCGCAAGGTGTAGCCCCAACCCCTGCACCCCCAGAAATACTCAGAAAGGCGAATGTTGAAAGTCTTTGCTGACAGGTGGATGGCAGCCTCCCTGAGACCGTTGGTCTGTTGGCTTGTGACTTTTTGACTTAAATGTAGCTAGATTGAACTGAGATCAGAATTTTGGATCGCTTTGTCTTCTTAATACTTTCATGTATTTTTTAAATTTATTTTTATTTTTTCAATATGCTATTTTTAATTTAAAAAATTTTAATTGAATCACAGTAAGATACACAGTTACAAAGTTATTCATGGTTGGGTTTTCAATCATTCAGTGTTCCAGCACCCATCCCTTCACCAGTGTCTGTTTCCCACCAGCAGCGTCCCCAGGTTCCCTCCAGTTCCCTCCACCCCCCCCCCCCCCACCCCCCCGCTTGCCTCTGGGGCGGCACTTTTCTTCTCCCTCCCGCCCCTCTCTACCTCTCTCCCTCCCTCCTTCCCCCTTCTTCCCTCCCTCCCCCCCCCCCCCCCCCCCCCCCCCGCTTTCTCCCCATTCCTCTCTACCACACTGGGCAGTATGGTTTGTGATACAGATACTGAAAGGTTATCATGTATATCCCTTTACCTACTTTCAACACTCAGTTCTAGTCCAGAGTGATCCTTTCCAACTATTATTCTCATCCTGGGCTCTTCTCTATCCTAACTGCCCTCTGCCCCCACTACACACTTGTGGCAAGCTTCCAGCCATTGACCAGTCCTTCTGGACTCTGTTTTTCCTGCCCTTGGACGTTACTCTCATACTATTTTTTTTTAATATCCCACAATTGAGTGCAGTCATTCAATATCTCTCTCTCTCTCTCTCCTTTTGACTCATTTCACTCAGCATGATATTCTCCATGTCCATGTATTTCTAAGCAAATTTCATGACTGCATTTCCCCTAACAGCTCCAGATACTCCACTGTGTAGGTGTGCCGTTGTTTCTTTATCCTGTTTTTTGTTCTTGAGTACTCGGGTTGTTTCCAGACTCTGGCTATGGTGAATAGTACTGCAATGAACATAGGAGTGCAGATGCTACTTTGTTTTGGGGCCCCCAGGGTATAGTCTCAGAAGTGGTGTTGCTGGGTCACATAGGAGTTCAGTTTCTAGTTTTTTGAGGAATTTCCATGTTGTTTTCCAAAATGGCTGGACCAGTCAGCATTCCCACCAGCAATGAATGAGAATCCCTTTCCACTTCCACACATCTGCACTGGATTTTTTTTTTAAAAAACTAAGTTTGATTTTGAGGGAAATGTTAACTCTTTCACGCAATACGATTTAATTTTTTTATCAGCAATAGTAAGAGCAATGCCCTGACTTGGATCAGAGCGATAGCGCAGCAGGTAGGGTGTTTGCCTTGCACACGGCTGACCTGGCCGACTCGCATTCGATTCCTCCGCCCCTTCCAGAGAGCCCGGCAAGCTATAGAGAGATCTCGCCCACACGGCAAAGCCTGGCAAGCTCCTCATTACGTATATGATATGCCAAACACAGTAACAAGTGTCACAATAGAGACATTTCTATGCCCGCTCGAGCAAATCGATGAACAACCGGAGGACAATGACAGTGACAGTAAGGGCAAGGAAATTTTAGTCTCAGCAAGAATTCGTTTTTGCTCTACTTTTCAGTCTATTAGGTAAACTGAAGAAATAGAAATAGTGCTTCTCTGTTCAGCTTGATTATTTCCTAGATAAAAGGATTAAAGAGACTTTAGGGTAATTGAGTGTTTAAAATGGTTTTAATGAAAGCATTTTCTTAGAGGAGTGGAATTGTTTTAACTGGATGAAAGTGTGAATGTGATTCAGAGTTTAATGCTACAGTGAAAAAATTGGAGGCAAAAGATCAGACATTTTCTTGAATTTTATGTGCAGAGGGGATTTGTGGAATGTAGGACAGTAGGTAATAGGCCTTTGGGGCATAGACTGCCACAGAAATGAGAATGTTCTCAGTGTTTTGTATCTGCAGGTGTACAGATAGTACAATTTTCCTGGTGAGAATGAACTTGTCACCTGTCTCTGTTGGCATATGCCATATTTTTTCTATGTAAAGTTGGCAGTTTTTCCTTCAGCATCTTGGGACGAGATTGTTAAATATACTGTCTTTCAACAATCTGATCCATTAATGTTAAAATGCATTTGATGGTTTTCCAGTTCTATCATTACTTCTCTAATTATGAGTTACGATTCTCTCGTTAGACAAAGCTTTCTTTCTGCCTGCCCCTTGTTGGTTATAACTGTGGACTCTGGTTGTTACTCTGCAGTTTACTGTTCCTCTCCTTAATATTGTTGCTGGGATTTCCCCATAATGACTGGTGACAGGCATTTCAGGCAGGCTCTGATGCCCTTTGGACTTGCTCCCTTTCTTGGCTCTTGGGCCGCACTGGCCGTGCTCAGGGCTTACTCCTGGCTGTGCACTAGGCCACCCCTGGCGGGGCTTAGGGGACCGTAGGAGGTGCCAGGACCGTAGGAGAGACCTGGGTAGGCTGCATGGAAGACGAGCGCCTTACCCACAGTCCAAGCCTTCATTCTCTGCGCGCTTCCTTGCCTTGAGACCCCAGATCTTCTGCTTATCTTTTACTTGGCTCCATTCCAACCCTGAATCTGTTCTTCGGGGAGTCCTTTTTCTTGGAATTGGAAAGTGATGTTTAGAAAGAGGCTGAGCATTAGGTGTGCTTGTTGGTGTTAGCATATCATTAGCACTCTCAGAGGCAAGCCAGGATATACTCCGGTCTGCACATGCTCCTCCTCCGTTACTCATATACATGCATCTGCATCTGTTTTATCGTGAAGCTTACCTTGCACGCCACTAACTTAGGTTCAGTCAAGGAGCCTTGTAAGGTGCCCTGAGCACAAAACCAGGAGTCAGTCCAGAGAACCACTGGGTCTGTCCCCAAAATTGGAAAAATTAACATCAAGCCATACTAATACCTAGTATTTCAATGTTTCAATTCACACTGTAGGATTCATTTTAGCCTTCCTATGTTTGTAACCTCTCTCTCCCCCTCTCTGTCTCTATCTCTCTCTCTCTCTCTCTCTCTCTCTCTCTCTCTCTCACACACACACACACACACACTCTCTCACCCTCCCAAACCCCCCAGTGATGCACAGGGGTTACTCCTGGCTTTACACTCAGGAATTATTCCTGGCGGTGGTCAAGGGACCATGTGGGATGCTGGGGATCGAGCCTGGATCTGCCGTGTGCAAGGCAGGCGCCCTACCTGCTGTGCTATCACTCTGGCCCCTGTAACCTTTCTCTGGCAGTGACAAATTGGATTCCCATTGTCCACAGAATACTCAAAATATGTATTCCAGAAATCCATGGATTATTTCTTTTTTTTTCTCCCCTTAGTATGATTGTGTTATTTATTTGAAATACAGTTGTTTGTTTCTGTTTGGATTCCATTTTTGTTTCACTCAACTTCGTTTATGAGTATGTAAAATACTGACTGGGTTCTGTAGTCAAAACTACCAAGTGTATGAAGAGAGTTGTAACTCCCTACCTCACCTTTTCTAATGCTCACATTTACCGGCTTCCCATTCTCTGTAGTAACCTTCCTTCATGCATCTGTGTGTGTGAGTGGGGGCTGGGGTTTGTCCTTCCTTTATTACATTTTTTAAAATTTCATTTAATTTTTATGAAGTTGTTGACAATAATTTATTACATGTAATATTCAAACATCAATCCCACCACCATTGCACCTTTCCAGTTTTTGAATTTTACCACCCCAAATTTTACCACCCCAAACTGTGCCCCCAAAGCAGTACCAAAACAACTTATTTTGTATTGCTTGTTAGAATAATTCGCTAAAAATAGTCCAAAAAATTTCCTTAAGGAACCTGTGTGAAGATTGTTGTATTTCACCCTGGAGCCATTTAAGCCCTTGTATGAGAGTTTACTAACATGTTCGTTAAAAGTTGAGCCGTGTGTGAGATATGTGTGTGATATATATATATCCATATCCATATATATATATCAGATATATATATATATATATCACTGTCATCCTGTTGTTCATCGATTTCTTCAAGCAGGCACCAGTAACGTCTCCTTCATCCTAGCCCTAGAAATTTAGAAAGTACCACATTAGAGGCTCTTTCAGGGTCGGGAGAATGAGACTCATCATTGTTACTGGTTTTTGCATATTGAATATGCCCCGGGGAGTTTGCCAGACTCTGCCATGTGGGCAGGATACTTTTGGTAGCCTGCCAGGTTCTCCAGAGTAAAAACTAAATAATAAGATGTCATGTGGCCACTTCGGTAGCTGGGTTTTCTAGTCTCTGAGTCTTGGCCGTTGATGGGATTACACGGTGCCGGGGGCAGTTGGTGGGTAACGCCTACATACCCGGAAGATGGGGGATCTGGGTGGAGGAGGCACAGTCCCAATTCAAGCAGGCTTAAAGATCTGCGCCCCAGGTCTCGTACACCTGGGTTCCTCTGCCAGTTCCTTCATGCGTAAGGCTTGTTCAAACGTGTGGAGAGCGGTCTTAAGCGTGGCTGTGGCTGGAACTGGCATTATGCGCTATATACATATAGCTTGTGTGTGTGTGTGTGTGTGTGTGTGTGTATTCCCCGCCCCATGAGATTGGTTGCCTTCTACTTTAAACCCCATCAAATGTGGTGTGCTACTCTTGGTACATCAGTGGTGTAGAGTATGAAATGTTGTTCCAGGAATTTTAAAATTCAAAATACGGTTATACAGCAGATTCACTTACGGGTGAGGCTCATCTGAGCATGTGGAAAGCGTGTGGAGAGTGGCCATGAGCATGGCGGTGATCGAGTTCTGGAGGTTTTCAGCTGCCTGGGCTCTCTTGGGGCAGGGAGGAGAATTTACCTGCCCCCATCCGAGTTGCCCCGGATGAGACAGACTGGTGCGGGGTCTAGAGGCATCTCTGGCCCCTTTATTACATTTTTATGAACAGATACATGGGCATATTTTTATTTTGGGTGGGAATCATGCCCAGGGCCACACACATACAAGGCGGATGGATAGGTGTGTATATTGTTTGATTGTTTTGCTGCTACCCCTAGCAGTGCTCAGGGGTTACTTTTGACTGTGTGCCAAGGAATTACTCCTGGCAATGCTCAGGGAACCAGAGGGATGCTGAGGATCAAATCCAGGTCAGCCGCATGTAAGGCACTGCTTACCCACACTGTCGCTCCAGCCCAAATACGTAATTTTTTTTTTTTTTGCTTTTTTTTTGGGGGGGGGGGGGTAGTCACACCCGGCGATGCCCAGGGGTTACTCCTGGCTCATGTGCTCAGGAATTACTCCTGGCAGTGCTCAGGGACCATATGGGATGCTTGGAATCGAACCCAGGTCGGCCACCTGTAAGGCAAATGCCCTACCCTCTGTGCTATCGCTCCAGCCCCTATGTATATTTTTATTATTTCTTTCTTATTCCAAAAGTAGCAAGCCAGAGATAGGTTTTTTTTGGGGTGGGGTGCAATTTGCTTTTCACACTGAACAGTGTAATTTAAGAATCAATGTCAGGTTACAGAGATTTTTCTCATTCTTTTTTGTTTGCTTTTGTTTTGGGGCCACACCTGGTGGTGCTCAGTGCTTACTCCTGGCTCAGGAATCACTCCTGATAGGCTTGGGGGACCATATGCAGTGCCAGGGATCAAACCTGGGTGAGCTGCATGCAAGGCAAGTTCCTTACACACTATATTGTTGCTCCAACCCCACTCCTTTTTTTTTTTTAATGATTTCATACTAAGCCAGGGTGTATATGAGCCATAGTTTTCAACCCTTCTTTGTCTAGTCCACTTACTTTTCAGATACAGTAGTCCAGTTAACTTCTGCAGATATATATGTTGGAAATGCATCTTCAGAGTATTTCTAGAAGAGCTGCTTAATTAGAAGGTAAATACAGAGGTCAGGAATATCAAACATTAAAAGTAAATGAATGTCATTTTATTAGTAGTACCCGTTTTCTCTCCAGAAGATGGGTCGGCCACCTTATTTTCTCACCAGTGACTAGTGTGTTAGCTTCCACATTGCCACACCAGTGGAATGTGTGCTTAGTACTTGTGGTGTTAATCCCTAGGACTCCGGTATGCAAACTGTGTGCTGTAGCTCCTGGGCGCCTGCCTCTGCACCTGGGCCTCTTTTTCTCCATCCCTTTCGTTACAAATTCTGCTACTGGCATTCTGATGATCAGTGATTTTTTCCTTCTGTCACTCTTTGATCTCAGTTTCACTTCTAGTATTGTTGCTTTTCATTTCTTTACTATCTTTTCTTTTTTTGGTTGACCAACCCTCTCTTGTTTTCTGACTTAGAAAAAAAATGTCGTGGGCATTTATCCCCAAGAGACAGTGAGGCAGCAAAGCCACACACTTCACTATGTGTGTGAATTGGAAAACATTCAGTGAAAAGGTGGCAAGATCAGGTCACTGATCAGGAGCTCAACTATTGATGATGTGATTTGTGGTCTGACGAGCTAGTAGCATGTTTGGACTTCCTATGACTGCTTATGTGTAGTCGACTGTGGCTACTTAAATTTGAACAGAGCTGTTCATGCTGTTGATGAACCGAGCATGGAATGTAAATTTGTATTTTGGATCTGTGCAAACTAGAACTGCTTATATTTCATATTTAGGATTAACACGCTTTGGTACTGAGTTGAGATCCTGAGTTCCCTGCTATTCTCTTCCTCACGATTTCTCACAGATGGCCTTTACTCTCAGCAGAATTGTGCCAGGAGGGGCTGAAGGGATAGCACTGTGGGTCGGGCGCCTGCCTTGCATGTGATTGACCCAGATTCGACTTCGGGAACCCCATATATCCCCTAAGACTTGCCAGAAGTGATCTCTGAGCCTAGAGCCAAGATTAAACCCTGAGCACTGCCATGTGTGGCCCAAAAACAAAATTTACGAGGGTTGTAAGACACAGATAGTGGAAGCTAATGTTTCTTTTTCTGTTGTGGGTAATTTGGTGCTTGAGAAGTGTCTTCCAATTTGGCTGTGGTTTCAGTTTTATATACTTTTGTGGTTCTTACATTGTTTTGATTTTGTTGGACATGTGGACAGATGGGCTGGAGTGATAGCTCAGTGGGTAGGGCATTTGCCTTGCACGCAGCCGACCCAGGTTCGGTTCCTCCACCCCTCTCGGAGAGCCTGGCAAGCTACTGAGAGTATTTCGACCACAAAGCAGAGCCTGGCAAGCTCCTCCTGGCATATTCGGCATGCCAAAAACAGTAACAACAAGTCTCACAATGGAGATGTTACTCAAGCAAATCAATGAACAATGGGAGGACATTGCTACAGTGTTATAGTGCTATGTGGAGAGATTGAAGTTTACTCCAGCACCATTATCCTTGGCTACCTAGAATTACTTTAAAAAAAAAAAGGATTTGTTTGTGCCTCTAATGTTTTTTGAGTATAAAATTCTTAATGTCCCCTAAACTCATAGATTTTGAAAATGGAAAAGGAATAGGGTTGATGGGGCTTTTTAACATTGGGTCATATCTCTGAAGAGTCTGTTCTCAGAAATGCTTAGTACTTCGTGGAGATTGCCTTGCTAGAGTGCCCATCTTCACAAGATGGAGCTACTTAAAATGTCTGTTTCCTCGCTCTTTTGTGGGACAGAGTATGTATTTTGGAAGGTTAAAAAAAAGTAGGAATAAAATCCCATTGGGAGACCAGACATTAATGTGATTGCAATTTACTTGATCTTTTACTATCATTTTCACCCACCCATTAAACTCTACGATGTTTTTCTTTTTCAGTCCTATGACAATGGGCTGGCCCAGGGAGCTGGACTTGAATCTCATGGTAAGAGCTCTTCAGACCAGTCAGCAGGCAGTGTCCACCTCGGGGCTGCAGGGGGAGCCCCCCAAAGTCTGAGTCGTTCCTTCTGGAAGAGGACGTTGCTTGTTTGGGGGCCTGACTTGTTGCATCACTGCAGTGGCCCCCTTGCCTCCTCCTGTTTGATCTCTCTCTGCCTGCCTCTTGGAAGGGACTTCAGGTTACATTTCATACCCTCCAGAATGCCCAAGATGATTTCCTCTCAGGACTCTTGGTGTCCTCACCGCTGCGGGCTCCCTTGACGGTGTCAGCTGCATTTGCTTGATTAGGGATTAGAACTCAGAACTGCAGGGCATGGCGGGGAGGGGCTGATTCAGGCTCCCGCCGTGCCTGTTACTTGGAAGTGACGTTTTCTTCTCTGCCCCCACCTTGCTCCTTTCTCTGGCTCACACTTTTCTTCTTTAAATTTCTTAACTAGTATATCTTCACAACAGTTTCTGGCTCATTACTGTTAAATGTACGAATCAGTCCAGCATCAGGAAAATGGAACTTCAGTTCTTAGGCAGTATATTCATAAACTGTCTTTAAAGGAATTTGGATCATTTGGGGGTGATGTGTTCTGACCTGAGAGATGTCGTCCTAGATTTCACTTTCAGTTCTGCCATTAACCATGTGATTTTGAAACGTGTCTTCATCAGAGTCTGTGTGTGTGTGTGTGTATGTGTATACTTATATAAAATATAGCCTTCAATGACTGTTTTCATTTGCATTGCTTAGCAGTTCTTTTTAAAAAGTAATCATAAAATTTTATTTTACTGTTTCCTAGAACTCCCAACTATTTCGTGCTATTTTCCTCGACATCCGATCTGAGCTTTAAAGTACTCTGGTTTTGATTGACAGGAGGATCAACTTTTTGTGGCATTGCTTCCCTGTGTCTGATGGGCAAGCTGGAAGAAGTTTTTTCAGAAAAGGAGTTGAACAGGATAAAGCGGTGGTGTATCATGCGGCAGCAGAACGGCTACCACGGGCGCCCCAACAAGCCCGTGGACACCTGCTACTCTTTTTGGGTGGGAGCGACTCTGAAGGTGAGGGAATGACAACCCCAGAGACCCCGCCCTGTGCAGTGAAAACTCAGCCTCGAGAATCTGGCCTTGGCATGATTCCTGAAGTAGTGTTAGTTTTAGACTCTGGTTTTTAATTTTGTCTCTCAGGCCAAGCAAGTCTGTGTGTGTGTGTGTGTGTGTGTGTGTGTGTGTCTGTGTTTCACTGAAGTTCTGTTATCTCTTGTGCTACCTGAAATTTCCATAAGACTGTAAAAAGTTTGCCTCCAAAATTAATAGTCCACCTAAGGATCTTTCTGAGCTGTGATGCCCACAGAGTTCTTGTGGGGAAAATCATAGTTATTTCTTTAACAACTTGTAAAGGTTTTCTTTTTTTTTTTAAACTAAAATTTAATTACTAACTTGCTCCCACATTCCCCCTGGTCTTTACTGCCTATTTCTAAATAGTCACTCAACAACCTCCCCAGTAGTCACTCTTTTCATATTGCTCTGGTACCTTCAAAAAATTAGCTTCTCATTCTGATACTCTGGAATCTAAGAAAGTCTTGACTCATCTTCTATATAATATCTCACTGTTCCTCTTAACAAGCTTCATAAGTGTGGTTGAAATAAATTCAGAAAACTATTTTTGAATATTTTTAGACCCTTAGCTATTGAGGATTATTGCTTTGGTCCACTGTGACATTAGGGACTATAAAGTAATGTTCTTCTGTCATTCTTTTAAAATTTACTACCAAGGATTTTAGCCCAGAGATAGCCCCAAGGGCTAAGTGCGTGCTCGCATAGGGGAACCCAAGTTTTATTCCTGAGCTCCCCCACTGCCAACTATGAGCACCGTCAAAAAAGAAAAACAGAGTTTTTAATAGATTTTTACTTTACTCGAGATATATAGTCTAGAAAATGGCAGATGAATACTTTTAAATTCTTCCTTCCCCCCCTTTATTTTAATAATAGTCTCAGAAAAATGAGATGCTTCCCTAGTTTTCAAAAAGAAGTAATTGGGTTTCAGGATTTTGTGGACTTCTTTTTCTTTTAATGTTTTGCTCCATTATTTTATTTTAAATTATCTTTCTAGAAGGTGAAATTTGTTTACAGTTCCAGGGATCTAAGCTAAGATCTCATGTATACACAGCAGTTTCTGCCTCTGAGCTATAACTGGCCCCCTGGCGCCGTGTAATCCCACCAACGGCCAAGACTCAGAGACTGTAAAACCCAGCTCCCAGAACCACACGGCCGCATTTGCAGCCGCATGCCATCTTATTATGACATTTTATTATCTCATTCCTACTTTGGACAAACTGGCAGGCTACCGAATGTAGCCTGCCCACACGACAGAGTCTGGCAAACTCCCCTGGCATACCCAATATGCCAAATACCAGTAACAATGATGGGTCTCATTCTCCTAAAGAGCCTTGAATATAATCTCAGTGCTAGGATGAAGGAGATGTTACTGGGGCCTGCTCGAGGCAATCGACGAATAACAGGATGGTCGTGATTCTAGTAGGTACCAATTTAAGTTGGCTTTTGATACGTTGTAGGTACCAGTTTGAGTCTTTCAATATGATCTTCGTCGTCTTTGACAACTTTCATTTTTGCTGTTTTGGGTTGTTTTTATTTTTGTTTTTGTTTGTGTGGGGCCACTCCCAGCAGTACTCAGGGCTTCCTCCTGGCTCTGGCTTTGGGGATCATCTTGGCAGGACTTGGGGGACCATAGTTGGTGCCAGGGGTCCAGCCTGAGTTAGCCATGCACACTGTTAGCCTCTTTCCTGCTGTGCTACCTCTGCTCCTTTCGATGCTTCCGAAAAGCAGCAATCCTTAAACATTTTTTTTTAAACCCTAATTCTTGGGGATTTTACCTACCATAACTTTTAATATACTGATTTTTCTATATCACTTCCATGCAGTTTTTGATTCCCAGCTATGAAATGATAAGGATTTGGCCTCCCTTTTTTTCTCTTAGCAAATTATTAACCTGTTATTTTATTTTACGTTTTTTAGTTCTGAGCTTTTTGCCTTCCTCTACAATCTTTTAATATTATCTTCTTACCTTTGCTTTTATAATGTAAATTTATACATTATAAAATTTTATGAAATTATGAAATATTGTGTAACAATAATCAAATGCCATGCTTTGCATAGATGTTGATTCTAAATTTGAAGACTAGTCATCACTGCTTATTATCATCATGTAAATATAGCTTATTACTCAGCCAAGTACAGTTTTATGGTTATAGTTTAAGTAATAACCCATGTACTCATGAGGAAAAATGTTTCTAGCTTCAGGATTGTTGAGCATCTCTTTATATTTTGTTTTAGGGCCATACCCAACAATAGTTCGGGGCTACTCTGGCTTTGCACTCAGGAATATACTCCTGCTGGTGCTAAAGGGGACCACATGAGGTATTAGGGATGAAACCTGGGTCAAGTGCCTACTCACTGTACTATTACTATTGCTCCAGTCTCTCCTTATATTTTCTTAATGAAAATCAAGATGGATGAGGGCCAAAGCAATAGTACAGCGGGTAGGGTGTTTGCCTTGCGTGCAGCCATCCCAGGTTCGATCCCCGGCATCCTATATAGTCACCTGAGTACTGCCAGGAGTGATTCCTGAGTGGAGAGCCAGGGCACTCCAGAACATTGTCGAATTCCTAATACTCCTCTCCCACCACAGTTTACTGGACTTCCTCTACCCGTTTAGCCCAATTTTCTGCTCCTCAGTTCAAAGTCTGTGGTCAGTCTAAGATTTTATTCTCATTGGTCTTTATTCCTTTGCTTTATTTCTTTATATACCACACATAAGTGAAATCATCTGGTATTTTTCTTTCTCCCAATTTTGTTTTGCTTCAAATCCACAGTTTTTATACCATATTTTTTTACCCTTTATCTTTTCTAAAGAGTTACAATGTTTTATAATCCTCCAGTAAGACTTCTCTAGAATCTAATTAGTAATTTTTATTGCTCTGTTCTATATTTAGTATTAGTTACTAGTTTATAACTAATAGCTTAAAAGTCTATCATAAGAGCTAACATTTAAAAAGATGAAATTTCACTTTTTAAAATGACTTGACTGGGGGCTAGAGAGAGAGTACAAGGGTTAGGGTACTTGTCTTGGATGTTGCTGACTCAGGTTCGATACCCAGCATCCCATATGGTTTCCTGAGCACTGCCAGGAGTAATTCTTGAGCGTTTGCTGGGTGTGGCCCCCAAGCAAAAATAAATAAAATGAGTCGAGCAGTTCAGAAGGTTGTGTTTTGAACTTAATGTGGCACAAAGAAGCTAAAAGAAGGAAGTAGAGGGCTGCACACACCGTCATCTCATTGTGCAGCTCAGTTGAACCCCCATCTTGTGGAGACCCAGAACCTAAAATACAGTAAAAAGAAAGCTTGGGTCTTTGAGCTCAATCACAAAATAAAAGGAAGTAGTTGCTCAAGAAAAGGAGACTTGACAAGATTTTAAAAACAATAATAGTGGGTGACTACTGTTAAGTGCTTAAGTTCCCAGAAACCTTTCAAAGCGTTAATAGAGAAAGCATATTTAAATAATAGGATAGCTTGAAACGGAGTCATTTTATATCAGTAAGGTTCGATTTGTCCTTTCGTTTCAGCTTCTGAAAATTTTCCAGTACACTAACTTTGAAAAAAATAGAAATTACATCTTATCAACTCAAGATCGTCTTGTTGGGGGATTTGCCAAATGGCCTGATAGTCATCCAGGTAATTTATTCTTTTTGTAGAAGTCCACAGCAACTGTTACTTTTGAGTAGCTCTTTAGTCATCTTTGTCAGATGGTGGTACAATAGAAAATTTAACCATAGTGATAAGTTACATTAAATAACATTTTAAAAAGTGAGCTGTGGGGGTACAGGAGCAATAGTACAGGCAGGGCATTTGCCTGGCACATGGCCGACCTTAAGTTTGATTCCCATATGGTCCCCTGAGCACCGCCTAGGGTCACTCCTGAGTGCAGAGCCAGGAGTGACCCCTGTGTATCACTGGGTGTGACCCCCCCAAAAAAAAGTGAGCTGTGGATTGGAGGGGCAGCTCAGTAAGCTGAAGTATATGTTTGCAGGAGGCCCAGATTCACCTCCTAGACACAGCTCAGTGTTCAGTGTAGAAATCCTGAAGCTAAGATAGAGCTAGAGTGAGTAACGAGGGAGGGAGGGAGGGAGGGAGGGAGGGAGGAAGGGGAAGAGAGGAGAAAATTGTAGGGTTCCTGCATCCCTGCGCATAACACCAACACACAGAATTAATTAAAAGTAGGTTGATGATTCTCAGGTAGATTTAGGTTGTTAGATGATACATAAAAAAGGTTTTGGTTATCAAAATACATTGTTAGACTTTGCCTTTTTCCCCAGTATTTCCCCTAGCAGTATATTAATTCGTGTGAAGTGATTAGGTAGTCCCTGCTTAAGAGACAGTAGACTCATTTGACCCGTCCTGACTCTTATTATTTTTATTGTTTTCATTTTTGAGTCTGGATAAAACCCAGGGCCTCATGTGCAAGGCATGTATTCAGTCACTGAGCTATATCCCTGGCCATTCAGAAACTATCAATAAAATGGGAATAGAAGGAACTTTCCTCAATATAGTTCAAGTTATTTGCCACAAACCCAAAGCTGACATCATACTCAGGGATGAAACACTGGAAGCCTTTGCTCTACAGCCAGGCACAAGACAAGGTTGCTCACCACTATTACACAATCCAATATTGCAAGTTCTTGCCATGGCAGTTAGACATGAAAGAGATGTTAAGGTGACCCAGATTGAAGAAGAAATAGAGGACACAAGGAAATGGAAATGCCTGCTCGTGAGTCAGAGTTTTAATATTGTCAAAATGACCGTTCTTCCCAAAGCTTTACACAGGTTCAGTACAGTCCTTATAAAAATGCCATAATGTTGAATAGTAAGCAGAACTATTTGTCATTCCTCTTTTGAAAATTAAGTGATACTCAGATGAGCAAATTCTTTTTCTCTAATACTTTAACAAGTTATGACTTGGTGTGTTGAACTTGAATAGTTATAGAGCCTGTAATAATGTCTCATTCAAAAATAGAAATAATTCTTTTCTGCTCCAATACAAAAGGTTTTTTTCTTGGGTGAGATTACCATAACTGCTGAATTGTATTTCAGCAGTCCATAGACGCTCTGGGACGGGCAGAGGCGTGTGATCTCAGTAGCTGCTTCAGTGGAGGAAGGGAAAGATAGCAAGGGAAGCCAGTTTAGGAAAAGAATGCTCTGAGCACTCACAGCATTAGAACCCTCTAGAATGTGAGTTTAAGCCAGATATTTTCACAATCTCTGATCTTACCCTAATAGAATTAGACATGATAACTGCATTTCAAAATAAGTTTTTTTGGTTTGTTTGGGTTTTTTCTTGAATTTTTTTTATTTAGTGTCAGAGAGATAGTCCAGGGATTCCAGCCCCACATACGGTCTCCGAAACCCAGAAGGAATCACTCCTGGGTACAGAACCAGGGACAATGCCTGCGCATTGCTGGCTATGGGCCAAACCTTCCCCTCCATTCAAAGACTCCTTCCACTTAACATAATATTAAGGTAATACATAGTTCTGAGGCAGAGATAAATCTTAGGAAGGGTCACTATTTCTTCTAATCAGGGGTTTCTTTATTTTTTGGTTTGGGGTCACACCCAGTTGTGCTCAGGGCTTCCTCCTGCCTATGTGCTTAGGGATCACCCCAGGAATCAAACCAGGTTAGCCACAGGCAAAGAAAGAGGCCTAACTCCTAGACCATCTCTTTCTGGCCCCTTTATTTTCATTTGTTGGTTAATTTTTGTTTGGGGGCTACATTTGAAGATGCTCAGGGGTTACTTGGGCTCTGCACTCCAGAATTCCTCTTGGGAGTACTCAGGGGACCATAGGAGATGCAGGGATCAAACCCTGTTTGGCCGCATGCAAGGCAAATGCCCTACTTGCAGTGCTCTCTCTCCAGCCCCTTTATTTTCGTTTCTATGAAAAAGCTTTTATGATAAATAGGACCCCTTATTTTTTTATTCTGCACGAAGGAGAAGGTCCAGTAAAGCATGGAGTCTTTAACCACTGCCACTCTCCCTCAGGTCCTTTAGCCACAGGGGCTACTGGGAATGGCTCCTCTTCCACTCAGAACTGCTACCGTCTGTTTTCGTTATCTGGTTGTTAAAAAGTCGGTCTTTCAGGCATGAGGAAAGCAAACCTTTCTGAAGTTACATCAAGCATATTTCTAAATTTTTAATAGGGTGGTGGACATGCAAATACATAACTAGCTTGTGTTGTGCCACATACAAATAAGAATAAATGTTGTGTTTTGGTTCGTTTTTAGACGCTTTGCATGCATACTTCGGGATCTGTGGCCTGTCACTAATGGAGGAGAGCGGAATTTGTAAAGTTCATCCTGCCCTGAACGTAAGCACACGAACTTCTGAACGCCTTCGAGATCTCCATCAGAGCTGGGAAACCAAGGACTCCAAGCCGAGCTCAGAGAATGTTCACGTCTCCACATGACTGACCTGTGACGGGGAGAGTGGGGAGATCGGTAGCATAATTGTAGCTCCAGGTTAAAAGCCATTTATAACCAAGTGTGCTCTTTTTTTTTTAAGAGGTAGTCTTACAGTCCAAATTTGTGCTTGTGTCACTTTGGGATATGGTCCTGAGCCAGTCGCCTTTGTACTGGGTTTCAAGAATGTCTTTGCTGAAATCAGAACCGCGGTGCACTCAGTCGTGGTTCTTAGAAGTTTATACTATATTTCTAAGAAGTTCTTTGGAGCAAATTAACTGTATGTGAGTTACCTTTTTTAAAAAAAAAAAAAGAAGAAGAAGCAACTTCAGTACAAATTCTATATTATAAAATGGACTCAACTCTTCAAAAGAAGTTTACAGTTCATAATAGCAGTGATAATCTTTGGGGGAAACATTTAGTGATTGTTGAAAACTTGTCTGCTGATGGTAGAAAATTGCTTTAATGAATTAAGTATCTGGGATTGTTCTTTGGAAACAGGCGATCCCATAATTTTTTAAGGAAGAGTGACTTATTTTCTCTTTTAAGTAAAGTGTGCCAATTAAACTTGTATATCCTATATAAATGAGATTAACTTCATAGAATGAATAGATGACTAATACAATAATTTTTCTAAAGGGAGATTGTTTTGAGAAGATTATTATATGACTGAGGAACAAATAATTTAACTGTATGTGGGATTGTGAAGAATGGGAAAACTTTGTGCTCTGTGGATCATTCATTTAGACAGTGCTGGGACAAATCAGAGCACCGTTTGATTTGATTTTGAGTTACCAGTTCCTTTTTTCCCTTTCTGGGGAAAGAAGCCTTGTCTAGACGGAAGGCATTTGAGTTTTTATTTCTCTGAGATACATGATGTTGTAAATTATACTTAGGTAGCTGAGAGGTTTCGGTTTTGGGGTTTTTTTGGGTTTTTTTTTTTAAGCTATTTGACATTTTCATTTTGTTCCAGTGTCTTAGCTGCTGTCATTTTTAAACAGATACTTTTCTATTTTTTTAAATCAAATAACAAACTTTAAGAAATCCGAACCGCTCAAGTAAATTTAATGGTGCAGTTCCGTACAGGTCCTTGATATGTTTTTATTTTTAGGTAAATGGGGGCGAATGGCCTGGGTGCTGAGAACTGGGTTTTCGGGTTAGGGAGCTGGTTCAGTGGCACGTGGAAGCCCTGAGTGGTCCCCAGCACCACGTGCTCCGGCATTGCTACATGTAGCCCTGGCCTCCAGCACCTGGCACCTTGCCGGAGACAACTGACCCATCCACCCACACGGCAAGCTGTGTATAACTGGGAGTAACCCCTCAGCACTCTGGACACTGCTTAGGAGGCCAAAAAGACCCCAAAAAATGGGGTTTTTTTTCATTTTGTGTTTTTAAATCTCAACTAGCTCATTAATTGCAATCCGTGCAGTGTGAGAGCCCGTCTGCTTGGTAATCAGTTTCTCGACAAATCATCAGTTTTGTCATTCTGTGACACCCTGAGATGAGTGTCCAGTGCTGACCTGAGGAGCTGGAACAAAGTTTAAGTCTCGATGGCAATGAATGTTGATTGTTCTTTCTGCAACTTTTAGTATAAAAATGTTATATCACTTTTGGGTATTGTAAGATTAATTTTTCTCAAATTGAAGTAAAATGACTCTAAAATTCTGATCTTCCCCAAAGGAAATCTCGACAGACCTGAAAAAATCATGATTGGTATGCTTTATTTTCAACCCGAATTTACCAAAGTTAACCATCTTTTGGTGCATGGGGTTGATACCTAACTTTTAAAATTAGAACTAGTCTTAATTTTCTGATATTGGGAAGAAGTAAGTTTAAGGGATATGATCCTTTGCTTTGACATTATAGTTGTGTCTATTTAAGTCCTGGCAAATTAAGGTGTCCATATCTCAGAATAATTCCTTTCTTTGACAATGGAGGTTAAAATAGTTTTGTGAAATAATTTTAGAACTGCATAAAAAGCTCAGATTGTTTTTCCTGAGTTGTCATTAGTGATTGTAAGGTAGTAAAGTAATGGCAATTTTCATAAATGAAAGAATCCTGAGGTAAAAGTTTCATAAAACTCTTAAATTTTTTTTTTTTTTGGTTGTTGATTTGTTTTTTAATTGAATCACCGTGAGATACACAGTTACAAAGTTGTTCCTGATTGGGTTGCAGTCATACCATGTTCCAATACCCATCCCTTCACCAGTGTACATTTCCCATCACCAATGTCCCCATTTACCCTCTCTCCCCCCCCACCCCCAGTCCCAAACTCTTCAATCTTTTATAACTCCTTGTATAATTCAGTAGCCTATGATGGTTGGTGATGGTGTGCCTCTCACTGTGGGGCCTCCCGTGAAACTACACACCTGTGGGGTGTTCATGTTCCGCAGGTGCGCATTGACAAAATGTCAGGCCAGAATGAATGGCGAAGAAACGCTTCCTGACTTGCACCAGATAGACATTTGCAGAAAGGCGCCGATCCATAAAATCAGCACGCGCTCTGTTTTCTGCCTACCTCCATTCAGCAGTGGCACCAGAATGAGAAAGGGGAACAGTGGGGCGCGGGGACTTGGATTGCTCAGCTCCTGCCCTCTGCCCACTGTGTTGTCGTTTAGACGAGGAGGAGGGGCTTTGTCCTGAGCATCTGCACAAAAGCAAGGCCAGTCGGCCTGTAGAGCACAATGGAACTGTCTGTATCACCTGCAGCATTCTCAGACTTGACCTCATTATAATATGTGTGTATGCATAAGAGCTTTAACTAGTTCTGTATAAACATTCACATTCAAATAAAAGTTTTGCAGATAGTGGAACGCGGTTGGAGACTCGGTCTGGTTGTATTGAAGGGCTTCCTACCTGAGGAGGGGCTCGGGCGTTGCCCCCGCCCTGCCAGTCCAGCGGGCCCTGTGCTCAGCCCTACCTGAGGAGATGCTTCACAGGGGCAGGGGCACTAAGAGAGGCACAGAGCCTAGTAGGCACCTAGGATCCTGAAGTACAGGAAGCATCCTAATTCTAATTTCTGTTATAACCGCGCTAAAGGGAATGTTACTAAGACTTCTTTCCCGTGCCAGGCAGAGATGTCACTGAGGTGAAACTTGGGGAAGCTGACAGCAGCCATCTAGTTCTTGAGATGATAGAATGTCCGCAAGATGTAACCTCAGGATACAAGGGAGTGAGGACAGGCCACTACCGGAGCTGGCTTCAGACCAAGAGGAAGGGAGGAAGGCAGCCACTCTTGGATGGCCCTGGGCGGGCCAGTGGGCTGACCCTGGGGGTGGAAGTAACAATGGTCTCTGGGATGGGGCCTGTGCAGTAGCACAATGGGGAGAGCGTTTTCCTCTCATGCGGCCGACCCAGGTACAATCCCCGGCATCCCATATGGTCCCCCAAGCACCACCAGGAGTAATTCCTGAGTGCAGAGCCAGGAGTAAGCCCTGAGCATCACCAAGCGTGACCCAAAAAAGGAAAAAGGGGGGGAGGGGGGCTCTGGGGTCCTGTTTGCAGGGCTGGGCTGATGGCTCTGCCTGAGCAGGGTGGGCCCTGACCTAAGATTTAAACCAGGGAGATGGTCAGAGGTGCTGTAGGGGAAGGCACTTTCCTTGCCAGGTGACCCACCCTAGCCAGGCCCCAGCACCAGTGACCAGACACACAAGAAAAGCACTTAAGAAAGACATGACTGATGAAAGCATAATATTAAAATAGTTAATTTTGTTTTTGTTTGCTTTTATTTGGGGGCCGCATGGGGCTGTGCTGGCTTACTCTTGGCTCTGTGCTCAGGGATCGCTCCTGGAAGCCTCTTGACAATATGAAGTGCTGAGGACCAAACCTGAGTCTGCCACTTGCACATGGCATACCCTTTGTACTATCTCTCTGGCCCCTAAGATTTTAAAAGAAGTTAAAAAAAATCTACAGTGTTCAGAAATAAATTGATAAAAAGAGGAACTGCCAAAAGTTAAACAACTCTTAATTAAGTTTATCCAGGAAAAAGTAAACAGAAAGATAGGGAATAGGTAAGTAAAAATCAGGGATAGGGGCGGAGGAATAAGAGGGACAGACCAAACCACACGTTTACTAGGGAAAAGGGAAGAAGTAAAAAATGCACACATTTAAATGACATGTTCTGTGGAACAGAAAATTTTCCAGAATTAGAATATGCCTTAAGTAATTGAATCAGAAAACTGGCATTTCTTTAAAAAACAAACTGCCAAGTTACCCTAGTAGATAAGGAAATTAAAACACATCAGTCACCACAAAATGAACAAGCCCTTAACAAAAATGTCAGGCCCAGATTGTTTCAAGGGGATTTCCAGCAAACCTCTAAAACCAGCCGTCTTGGGCCAGGTGCTGAGCATGGTCCCCCAAGTACCCCCAGCAGAGTCAGGAGTAGCTTCTCAGCACTGCAGGGCATGGCCCGAAAATGAAGGAACTCATCCTAATGCTTAAGCAGTTCCAAAGGTTAGAGAAGAATCTTGAACCTCAGAGTGGAGTGCCGCCCCAGAGCCTCCAGAATTATCTTGTGATGTGAGTGACATTGTTTCTGACAAAACCTGACACACACCGTACCAAAGAGGAAATGACTTTTCAGCTTAAGAAAACTAAATGCAAAAGTTTAACATTACATTAGCAAATAGTTCAACAGCACTTTCAGAAAGCAATACATAATGACCAAATGGACTTATGGTATTTCTATAGCAGTAAATAATGACCAATGGGATGTCTTGTGTTTCTATATGAATGTAAGAATAGTTTGATACTAAATGATCCATCAATATAGAGCATGTTAAAAGTTAATGAGAGAGCTGGAGAGAGAATATAGTGGGTAAGGTGCTTGTTTTGCATGTTATCTACCCAGCTTTAATTTCTGGTACCCCATATGGCCCCCTAAGCCCACTAGGAGGAACCCCTGAACACATCCAGGCGTGGCCCCAAAACAACATAAATAAGAAGAGCCTCGCCTCACATGTTGTCCGCTCCAGTTCAAATCCTCAACATTGCATATGGTCCAAGCACCACCAGGAGTGGTCCCTGAGCACAGCCAAGTATGGCCCCAAAATTAAGAAAAAAGATAAAATTTAAGGAGAAAAATCATATTATCTCCATTTCTACAGAAGAGGCATTAGAGTTAAGCCCTTAGCGTGTTAAATATGCTTAGTAAAACTTGATGAATAATTCATGAACGTTTGTGTCTGCTCCAGAGCCAGTATCTTAATGTTGAAGTAAAAGACATTTTCTAAGAAATTCAAAAACAAATCCACTACCACCTAGAATTATGTTGGGGGTAGCAGGGACAGGAGAGGTTAGAATTGTGTTGGCGGTTTTAGCCAATCAAGTTAGACAAAACAAAGGTGTGAATTAGAAAGGAAGCAATAAAACAATTTGCAGGAGACTGGAGAAATAGCACAGTGGGTAGGGCGCTTACCTTGCGCACAGACTATTCAGTATCCAGCATCCCATACGGTCCCCTGAGTATAGCCAGGAGTAACCCCTGCGCACCGCTGGGTGTTCCGTTCACCAAAATAAAAAAACACTTTGCAGATGTGTTTTTATATCTGAAAAACCCAAAGGAAAGTGTTGACCATTTTCGAGCACTTAGTAGGACAGTATTTCTGTACAACTGAAAGTATCACTTAGGATTCTACCCTTCAGTTAGGACTGGGTTCAAGATGGGTGTAAGAATTAGCTCCACTATCAGTCCCTCCCTCCGTCCAGAGTAATCTTGACTTCCATGACTCATTTGGTTTATCTGTGGAGTCTGTAGATCCTTGTTTATTGGGCTGCATTAGCTCAGCAGGAAGTGAAGAGAGCCAGTAGTTCTGGCACTGGCACCGTTCCTTGGGTGACGGAGCTGCTGCCTATGGGTGTGTTCACTCAATGAGTATCTACCAAGCTGGACACTTGGATTTGTGCACTATTCTGTATGTAT